GAATTGATAATTTCTTTTTTTTTTTTTTTTTTTTGCAGAAGATCAGTTTAGTGTACATTAAGTAAAGATTTCAATCGTTTGCACCCCCATAGAAACACAAAGTGAAATATACTGTTTGAGTACTCGTTATAGCATTAAGCCTCAGTGTACAGCACATTAAGGACAGAGATCCTACATGAGGAGTAAGTGCACAGTGACTCCTGTTGTTGTCTCCAGTCTAATTTGACACATTCCGTGTGGAGGTCTCAAAGGCCCTGTAAACTCCTTTTGTCCAAAAGCACACTCAAGGATACGGCCTGCACGCCTCACGAGCCCACTCCTAAACTGAGGTTTCAGCCTCGATGCCTTTATTCTTTGCTTTCCCCATCTTCATATTTCGTCAGTCCTCCTCACCTCATTCTTCAGAGAGCTTGCAAATCCACCTGCTTCAGCCATTGTAAGTGCTGTCACTTCTTCCTTCCATGTTGCACACCCTGGACACATTCTGTGGTACAGATCTGCACCCCCTGATCCTGGCTGCCTTCCTCCTGCTCATCCACATCGCCTTCCTCTCCTGCCCACTGGTCCTCCTTCTTTGTAGCACACTTTTTAGGATTAGCCTTCCTCCGAATTAGTCAGCCCTCACACTCATCATTCTGTAGAGGTCTCTAACTTTCCTTCATAACACTTAATTTCAGCTTTCAATTGCGTTGTGTGTGTGTGTGTGTGTGTGATGTTTGTCTTTCCTAACTGGAATGTGTGTTTAACACACTGTTATGTAGTTAACACCCAGGAAGTAGCCAGGATATTTGTCTGTATTTGACTAAATTAGGAACACATGAACAGATCTTAGAACACAGGCTCTGGGCACCTCAGAAATATCCCAGCCCGTATACCTACTGCCAGATCTTGGGATTTTTCCACGACATCATTGAGCTGAATTGGGTGACTCTCAAGTGGTCCTCAGATGTCCATTCAGTTTTCCAGAAATGAGGGGTCCACAGTCCACATGAATCCATATTCTCTGTGGATTTAAACGTCCTCTTAATCGCATTAGAAACTGTCATATTCTAACCCCTGTTTTCTAAACTGGTTAAGTGCCCACTTAGGAATTTTGCTGTAAGAAGGTAAGATTGCAGCTGGCGCCGCGGCTCACTAGACTAGTCCTCCACCTGCGGCGCCGGCACTCCGGGTTCTAGTCCCAGTTGGGGCGCCGGTTCTGTCCTGGTTGCTCTTCTTTCAGTCCAGCTCTCTGCTGTGGCCCGGGAGTGCAGTGGAGGATGGCCCAAGTGCTTGGGCCCTGTACCCACATGGGAGACCAGGGGGAGGCACCTGGCTCTTGGCTTCGGATCGGCACAGCGCGCCGGCTGTAGCAGCCATCTGGGGGGTGAACCAACAGAAGGAAGACCTTTCTCTCTGTCTCTCTCACTCACTGTCTAACTCTGCCTGTCAAAAGAAAAAAGTAAGATTGCAACACAGTTGGGTAAGAGTTAGGTATAAAGCTACAGCCAGTGGCAGTTTGGGTTATTTAATTGATCAAGCTAAGAGTCCATTCAGTGCCTTTTGTTTTGTCAGCGTTCCTACTTTTCTTCCTGAACAGGACAGGTCCTCTGGTGTCCAGTCCCCTCTCCACACCTTTGTCCCTCAGGCATGTCATGTAGCCTCACTGCCTTCCCTGGATTTTTCCAGCAGCCCAGCCTTTTTCCCCCACCACAGGACCTTTGCACCCACGTTCCTTGTGCCTCAAACACTTTACCCAGACTTTGCTCTGTTCTTAGTCATTTGAGTCTCAGCTTCAGTGCTGTCTTCGCAGGGAGCTTTCTTGGATTTTTGATCTAAAGTAACCCCAAGTCGCCTGGGTTGAGCCGTCCGGGGCAGTGGCCCCAGCACTGTGTTCTGGTTATGGACCCGTCACTGCTGAGAGTGTAACTTCCGTGAGGGCTGAGCTTGTTCTCATCTCTGTCCCCAGCTGTTAGGATAGTATCTTGGCTTGCAGTAAGTGCTTAATAATGAATGAAGGACTAGTGACTAACTCATTTTGTCTTTATTAGGATTTGTAATGCAATAACTAAAAGTCATCCACAGAGAAGTGACGTTTACAAATCAGATTTGGATAAGACCTTGCCTAACATTCAAGAAATACAGGCAGCATTTGTTAAACTAAAGCAACTGTGTGTTAATGGTAATTTCACTCATTTCAAATTCATATATGTGTGTGTGTATGTATGTATGTATATAGATATATTTACTATATATATATATAATTGTATGGAGGGTAAAGAATTGCATGAGTTCTATCAGGGAAAGTGATGTTCCTTAAAGATATAGAAATAGATTATATTTAAGGAGAGGCTCATTGAGATTTGTATACAGATTTTATTGTATGAGGATATCAAAATCTAGAAAGTGAGATTTAAGCTGCGTTTTGTTTTGGAGAGAAAATGAACCTGTGATATCGTCTCTGCGTCCTGAAAGGCACATAGAACAGTTTTCTAGAAGCGTCTGCTGAGTGGAGCACCGTGCTACCTTACAGACAGACTTACTTCAAGGCTTTAATGCACAGTTAGTTTTATTTGGGATGGGTGACCTGACCTGGGTATCAAGTTTTCTAATGTGTCTGTTATCAGGTGGCTTCCATGTGCCCTAGGGGTGAGGAGAGGCAGCCTTGACACTTGCCTGGAAGGAGAGCTCTGCAGCCCCATGCCAAGTGTCTGAATACTTGCTCTCTGGGCTGGGCACAGGTGCCACCTCCTTTTAATGGTCAGCCCCCAGGCCCCATAAGCAAAGCCTCAAGAGGCAGCACTGGCAGCAGGGCTCGGGAAGAGAAGCAGAGTGTGGTTTGCAGTCAGGAAGCGGTGAGACAGTGCCTGGGCCTCTGTTCACACAGATCAGGATGGCCAGAATCAAGACACAGGCTGACCAGGAAGGCTGGGAATCGCTCCTCGGGAGGCAGAGTTGGTCAGCCTGTCTGACATCTCCCGGAGTGCAGAGGGAAGTGCTTTGTTTTATGTGATAGAGAATAATAACAAGTCACCTTAGATGTGTATTCTGTGTTACTAAAGTGAAGATTCATGACACTGAGAGCCAACTTTTAAATGTTAGAGACTGCGATGTTATCTCTTACCTCTGATGTTACTTACATAAAATTAAGCTTCAAAAGCCTAAAATGTGTGATTGTGTTTATATATGCCTGTATCTTTAGCCATATTTAAAATTGCCATATTTATTACAGAGCCTTTTGAAGAAACTGAAGAAAAATGGTTATCTTCACTGGAAAGTACCCGGTGGTTAGAATATGTCAGGTTTGTACAACTTCTTTCATTAGCTTTTTATCTTGAAATCATTATAGACTCATAGGAGGTACAAAGATCGTACAGAAAGCCATGGACTCCTCACTTAGCTTCCCACCGTGGTAACATCTTAGATAATGGGAGCACAGCATCAAAACCAGGACATTGGCATTGGTGAGATCTACAGGTACAATCTACAGTCTGACATCTTACTCAGATTTCGTCAGTTTGATGCACACTTCCACATGTGGGTCTGTGCACAGGTGTTTCTACGAGGTTTGACCCGAGACCTAGCACTCAGCTTATCTCAGCTTTCTACATGCCTTCCTTGCTAAATGTAACCATTCCCGGTTTTTTATTTAAAATGAAAGACGGCATGATTCATCCCTTTTCACTTGTACACTTAAGAGGTTATTGTAGTTACTAATTGGCCCACTTTCAATATTTTGCTGTCTTGGGAATAGGCTCAAGAACAGGAGGGGGATGAGAGAACAGTTAATTGATGCAACAGTCAGAACACGCACACGTTTATCAATTAAGTTTCTGTCTTATGAGCATGGGTCATGAAGGGGACACATGCTGTTGGAAAAGTGGCACGATAGAATTGTTGGACACAGGAATGACACCAACTTCCAACTCTTTTTTTTTTTAAAGATTTTATTTATTTAAGAGGTCGACTTACAGAGGGAGAGACAGAAAGAGAGATCTTCCATCCACTGGTTTACTCCCCATATGGCTGCAACAGCTGGAGCAGGGCCTATCAGTAGCCAGGAGCTTCTTCTGGGTCTCCCATGTGGATGCAGGGGCCCAAGGACTCGGGCCATCCTCTACTGCTTTCCCAGCCTATAGCAGAGAGCTGGATCAGAAGAAGAGCAGCTGGGACTAGAACCGGTGCCCACATGGGATGCTGACGCTGCAGGCGGAGGATTAACCTACTGCGCCACAGCACCAGCCCCAAACCTCCAGCTCTAAAAACATGAGTATCTGTGACACAAAATAAAGTGAAGTGCAATAAAGCAAGTTGTACACTTTTGAAATATATTTGTAGTGGAAATCTTATTTTTAACAATATGTTTCCTTCTCTTTTCAGGGCATTCCTTAAACATTCAGCAGAACTTGTGTACATGCTAGAAAGCAAACATCTCTCTGTAGTCCTACAAGGTAATTAAAGTAATTCCTGAAAATATTGTGACCATTGCGCCAGCCAACCTAGGTGACTGTCCACATTCCAGTAAACTAATCATCTCAGCTGTCTTACTACAGCACTGTCAAACACACTACAGATTTTGCACATTAGAGCCAAACAGTGGCACAAAAACATCTGATTTTCTACCTTTATTAGATACCTTTTATAACCTGGGAACAGTGAATCATCACTTATAGATTAATATTTAGTATTAACCTTATCTCTCCAATCTTGCTGTTTTCTAATTCATACAGATTTGTTTTAGCTTTAAATGCCTCTAACTCTTGGCAGATTGTGACTGAGGAAACAGTTGCACTGCTATGCTAATTGTGTCTAATATAACGTCACTGTACAGCTGGTTCAGTTCATCAGAGGATGACTTTGTAGTGAAAGACTTCACACTACCAGAATGTCTAAGTTTACAGATAAAGTTTAATGCACCATGAACTACTTTTTTATAACACATTCATGTTGCATAGTGTGTTGTCGCTCCCCCTCTTCGTGGAGGAACGACACAGGACCCTGCGCTGTTCTTTCATCTGCTCGGCCCTCCCCGGGTTTGCTGCTGGTTCTTCCCGGGTTGGCTACTATCCCTTCCACCTCCGTGGAAGGGCAGTTCCCCCTGGCCACATTCCCCACTTCCGCAGGGGAGCGGCACACCGCCGGCCGGCTTTCTGGGGGCTGCACAGGTGTTCCCTCAGATGTTCCCCTTAGATGTTCCCCTTAGATGTTCCTGGTGCATGCCGTCTCTCTCCTCCTTTATAGTCCTCCTCCGCCAATCCCAACTCGGCTGCCCACACGCCGAGTATGCTGCTCTCCTCCAATCAGTAGCAAGTCCTACAGTTTATTGGTTGAACTGGAGGCAGCTGTGCGGAAGCTGTTTACTTCTCTCCCAGCGCCATATTGTGGGAGAGCAGATGCACAGAATAAGTCTTAATTCCAGTAACTCAGTCCAGTCCGGGCTGCTCCCCACAGTGTGTGGATACAGGATGTTACTTACGGCTGGAGAAATATTTTTACCAACTGTCAAACAACTAGCTTTAACCAGGCAAAGATGCATAAAACCCTAAAGGGGAGAAATATTCACTACATAAAGTAATTCTTTGATACAAAGTATGTATTTTGATTCACAAATGCAGGCTAAGCCCCCAAATCAGCTTATTTCTCCTCTCAGCCAACGGGTGTTCTCATCTTACGGTAAAGTCCTGCTTACCCTTGATTCTCTACGCATTTATAATGTAAAAGACATCAACAAAAGTGCTAAACCTGTGTTCCTGTGTTTTACTTTTTTTTAAGAGTATGTTTTTGAAACAGTTCATAGAGGAATAATGTACATGCTATAAAATTCACTCATTTTGAATGTACAATAATTTTTAGTAAATACAGAGTCCAGTTTTAGAAATGGTCCATCATGGGGCTGGCACTGTGGTATAGCAGATTAGGCTTCTGCCTGCTGTGCTGAATTCCCATAGGGACGCCGGTTCCTGTCCGCTTGCTCCTCTTCCGATCCATCTCTCTGCGGAAGATGGCCCAAGTGCTTAGGCCCCTGCTTCCACGTGGCGACCCAGAAGAAGCTCCTGGCTCCTGGCTTCAGATTGGCCCAGCTCTGGCCATTGCAGCTATTTGGGTAGTGAACCATCTCTCTCTCTCCCATCTGTAACCCTGCCTTTCAAATAAATAAAATAAATTGCAAAAAAAGAAGTTTCATTACTCCAAAAAGATTCCTGTGTCCCAGCACCAGGCAATAATTAATCTACTTCTTCTTTTTTTTTTTTTTTTTGACAGAGTGGCAGTGAGAGAGAGAGACAGAGAGAAAGGTCTTCCTTTTGCCGTTGGTTCACCCTCCAATGGCCGCTGCGGCTAGCGCGCTGCGGCCGGCGCACCGCGCTGATCCGATGGCAGGAGCCAGGTGCTTCTCCTGGTCTCCCATGGGGTACAGGACCCAAGTACTTGGGCCATCCTCCACTGCACTCCCTGGCCACAGCAGAGAGCTGGCCTGGAAGAGGGGCAGCCGGGACAGAATCTGGCACCCCGACTGGGACTAGAACCCGGTGTGCCGGCGCCGCAAGGCGGAGGATTAGCCTAGTGAGCCGCGGCGCCGGCCCCTACTGGGGTTTTGATAGCAGTGTGTTGAACCCATTGGCCAGTTTGAGGAAAATATTATCTGTATTGAAGTGGCCAGTCAATGAAGTGAATTCTCTCCTTTTATTTAGATATTTCACCAGCAATGTTTTGTGGTTTTTTTACATGTCTTATATTTACTTTATAAACTCTTTAAGTGTTTTTTTATTTTACTATGTATAATTGCTCTCAAATTTCATCTCTAGATTTATGATGTACTCAGTGTGTTACTGTGTTTGGAATCCCTGCAACCTTACTGGACTCATCTATTAGTTCCAATAGTTACTCTGTGAATTCCTTAGGAATCCTAAAGTAGCAGTGTGTTGCCCGCAAATACAGTTTTTATCTCTGAGATGGATGCCTTTTATTTATTTTTGGTGCCTGGTTGCTCTGGCTAAGCCTGCCATCCAGTATAGAGACTGTCAGAAGCCGGCATCCTTGTCTTGTTCTGATGGGAGGAGGAAAGCCCGCAGTCTCTGACGAGTGAGAATGATGTTAGCGTTGTTTGGCAATGCCTCTGATCAGGTCTCCAGCTTGCCAAATGTCTGTCGGGAATAAACGCAGAAATGTGGCAGCTTCTTCCTCTGCGTGTGCTGAGATGATCACGTTGTCCTTGTCTTGTATTAATATACATTACTTTGTCAGCTGCTAACCCATTGTGTCCCACCATCTTATTTAAAGACTCAAGTTGAGGAATATGCCACTTACAGTAACTTTGAAATAGATATGTTGTTGCTGAAGTACAGAATTGAAAACATGGTCTTAATGGGATAAACGAACCTTGGGTTTGGTTGGGATAATTTTGTTTACTTAAATTTCGCTAATATTTTTATATCTGTAATGATAAGGGATAGTGGTTGGTAGCTTTCTTCTGACTTCTTTGGCTAGCTTTAATATGATAATTCTGGTCTTGTTGAAAAAGAATTATAAAAAGAAGGAAATATTTGCTACCCTCACAGCGATAGTAGACAGTCTCATCCCCTCATTCACCTGTGGTCATTACAATGTTGTCAGTAAAAATACTATATTTAGTATCCTTCACAAAACAGCACAGTGATTCCAGAAATATTTTCTGTTACAAAACATTCAAATGTAAAAGGTGTGAGGAATGAGCTTCTCTTACCTGGCAAACACTCTTAGATAAAAGACAGTCCTCTGTTAAATACTAATTTAGTTTATCTAAAAGTCTACTATCTTAGAGTCACTAGAATCCAGTAAAATTTCCTTATGCAAATTGTTTTGAAGGCAGCCTACCAGCGGAAAGCAACTAAATTTCCCCATTGACACACCTTCCCCTTCTCAGCGTTTTTCTGTGCAGTAATTTTTTTCTTTCCATTTTATTTACAGAGGAAGAGGGAAGAGACTTGAGCTGTTCTGTGGCTTCTCTTGTTCAAGTGATGCTGGATCCTTATTTTAGGACAATTACTGGATTTCAGAGTCTGATTCAGAAGGAGTGGGTCATGTCGGGATATCAGTTCCTAGACAGATGCAACCATTTAAAGAGATCGGAGAAGGAGGTAACGAGTCTTAATGCCTTTACAGAAAGAGAGGGGTTTTACTTCATCTAGAACGTCTCAGATTCCTCCGTCCAGGGCTAACTAATGCATTAGAGGTCGACTTGATGAACTGTAGGAAAGAGTATTGTGGCTACACAGGTGAAATTTAAAAAAATTATTGAATTTGTCTAACTTCAAAATTATCTGAAGAGATTCTGCATTAACTCCTCTGCAGAGCAGGTAGCAGGCACATGAGCTATTTTCCAGTCACTTCAGGAGTAACGCACTGTCTGGAGAACGGGCAGTCTGAGCAGGTCGTCCTTGGACAGCTGTGGGCTGCGGCTGCCTTGGATCCGTCGTCAGGCCACAGAAGACCCTGCAGGTGTCTTATAAACCACGTGGGTCAGATTGGTGTTTGCAGGGGTGTTAGAGGAGCACCGTTTGACTCTTGGTATCTCCTACAAACAGCTGCCATTAGCTGCGGCACTTTGGGATACACCACATAGTCTAGAGGCCACGGTCAAACTTTCTACTGAAACTTAGGGAGGATTTCTGGGTAGTAAGCCTACAGGGCAACCAAAGGGTAATCACGGAAGTCAGTTGATTGTTGAGTATTCTTTTTTTTTTTTTTTTTTGACAGGCAGAGTGGACAGTGAGAGAGAGAGACAGAGAGAAAGGTCTTCCTTTTGCCGTTGGTTCACCCTCCAATGGCCGCCGCGGCCGGCGCGCTGCGGCCAGTGCACCGCGCTGATCCGATGGCAGGAGCCAGGAGCCAGGTGCTTTTCCTGGTCTCCCATGGGGTGCAGGGCCCAAGCACCTGGGCCATCCTCCACTACACTCCCTGGCCACAGCAGAGGGCTGGCCTGGAAGAGGGGCAACCGGGACAGAATCCGGCGCCCTGACCGGGACTAGAACCCAGTGTGCCGGCGCCGCGGCTCACTAGGCTAATCCTCCGCGTAGCGGCGCCGGATTGTTGAGTATTCTAAAGAATGTTCCAGGACATGCCTTCCTGCATATTTGGCTCTTCCTTGTTCATCTCTCTGCTTTGCCATTTCAGTCTGTTGTACTTAGTAGGCAAATAAGGGTTATGATGTTCGTCAAATATACTTCTTAGGTTTGACATAAGATACGTTTATTCAGTCACAGATCTGTAGCTCAGTGCTTAGATGTTTTCTTATTGATCTCTTCCTTAATATCAGCAATAATTTAGAAATGTGAATGCCCAAAGGACAACACTAGATAACCGCACTGTTTGTATGTGACAGTCCCCCTTATTTCTGCTGTTCTTGGACGCCACGTGGCAGCTGTTAGAACAGTACCCAGCAGCCTTCGAGTTCTCGGAGACCTACCTGGCAGTGCTGTATGACAGCACTCGGATCTCACTCTTCGGCACCTTCCTGTTCAACTCGCCCCACCAGCGGGTGAAGCAGAGCACAGTAAGTGGCCTTGTGTGGCCATGTCTACTTTTTCTTTTAAACTTTATTGAGATATATTGAAATATAGTTAACTGTATATTTAAAACATACAGTTCAAAGCTATTACTTGAAGTTGCAATTTTTGAATAAATTATTTTAAGGACAAAAATATAGATTACTTAATTGTGAAGAATATTTTTCTTCTATGCAAATTGTTCATAATAATCCAGTTTAAATATTCGTATTAGTTTAACCACCTCGAATGTCATGCTTTTGGTATTTATATTTTCACACTTGGGCTGCTAGGTAATAAGACTCTTTCCTCAATCAGTGGAGTAAAAGTTGTAGAAAACAAGGTGATTTCTCTTGAAGAGCGTTGTGGGGAAGAAAGTCCTATGGAGCAGAAGGCATAGGAATGAGCGCCCGTCGGGGGACTAGACTGGGACGCTCTCTTGCTGTATTCTCAGAACCCGTGTGTCACATGGCAGTCCCTGGGTAGAATTAGGAATCTTTGGTCACAAATTCCCTCACCTAAAGGAAAGTGATTATGACTAAGGAGGGTCTCCAGCCTTGTGCATCGGGAAACCATCGAGAAGCACGAGCTGTGTCCTGGCCACGTGTGACCCCTCAGGGCGGCTGGTAACATGCTGCAGTAGCCCGAGAGGAGCGGACAGGGCTCCCGGAGGCCTGCTGGAGACTGTTAGAGGGGCTTCAGGGCCCTCGCGAGGCAGTGCGGCCCGGGGCACGCAGCCTGAGTTCTGGCCCTCGTGTGGGAGGAGTGCCAGCCGCTCAGACCCCAGCCCAGGAACCCAGCTCCTCGTCTGTGAGGGGGACCAGCAGCCTCACAGCTGTGCCTTTGACGGCACTGCAAGGTGTGAACACTGGTTCAACTCCGAAGCACTGTGAGATCACCCTTAACACTGGGTAGAAGGGACAAAAGACAAACTGTAGAGGACAGTAAGGAGCTTATTCATGCTGTGCAGTAGGGAGAACTCCATTACAGGGGAAAAGAGCATCCCACAGCAAGACAGGGCCCGGAGTTTCCCCAGAGGCAGAAAGCCCCGGGGGAGCAGCAGGACAGGGAGCACTGCTGCCTTCCCAGACCCCAGGGCTCGGAGGGACGGAGCACTGTCAGGGGCTGCTTAGGGAAGGGAAGTTTGCGAACAAATGCTGTTCCCCCGAGAGAGCTTGAGCTGCGCACTGTGCCCGGCTCAGAGGCCTCCCGGTCCCCTGCCCTCCCCCCGCCCCGGGATCCCTGCCTGGCTGCTGCCTCCCTGGCTCTCGTCTCCACCTCTCCCTTCCCTGCCTGGCATGAGAGCCTGCACAAGAATGGGCGCCCGGGAAGGCAGCAGCAGTCAGCACGGTGGCAAAGAGGACAGTGACGGGGACAGTGGGCACCCGAGTGGGGCACTTTATGCCCAGAGACGCTTGTTGATCACTTTGGCTTCTTGGGTTCTGGATATGCTGAGATACGATGACCAATAGTTTATTAATTGGGAATTTAAAAAAAAAAAAGCTGTTTCACCTAATTTTTCCTCTCTTATGTCCCAGTGGTAAATAGTTTTAATTTGTCTTTTTCAGAGACTTTTTCTGACAGGTCCTAACGCCAGTCCCGCCCGCCCCTCCCACCTCCCTGGCAGGGGAATGGCCATTGACTAAGAGTTGCCGTTCTTAACACAGTGCTGCCCTCACTGGTAGGCCACAAGCCAAAGGTGAACCCCTTTTTCCACTCTGAGGCCACTTTAGATGCCAGTGGTCAGGCACTGTTGGTGGAACATCTAGCTGTGGAGAAAAATAATTGTAGTTTTCACACTTAAAATAAAGATGCCTGTTCTCTCTCTCTTTTTTTTAAGAGTTTATTTATTTATTTGAGAGGTAGAGTTACAGACAGTGAGACGTAGAGACAGAGAGAGAGGTCTTCCATCTGCTGGTTCACTCCCCAAGTAGTCGCAACGGCCAGAGCTGCGCCGATCCAAAGCCAGGAGCCAGGAGCTTCTTCCGGGTCTCCCACGTGGGTGCAGGGGCCCAAAGAGTTGGGCCATCTTCCATTGCTTTCCCAGGCCACAGCAGAGAGCTGGATGGGAAGTGGAGCAGCCGGGATTAGAACCGGCGCCCGTATGGGATTCTGGCGCCACAGGTGGAGGATTAACCTGCGCCATGGCGCCGGCCCCAACTGTTCTCTATATTCTTCGCTAAGGGCCATGAAAAACATGTTAGGATTGCTGTTTTAATTTCCACTCAGAACAGTACTATTTTTAAAGCAAATGGATTGTTTTCAATCTGCATATGTATGATGAAATCCTAAGTCATTTAAAAAATTGTCAATATTTGATGCTTAATGAATTCTTATTTGGCATAGAAATTCTGGGGGGAGGGTGAAGATATATTTATTTATTTGAAAGTCTGAATTAGAGAGATCTTCCACCCACTGGTTCACTCTCCAAATGGCTGCAAGGGCCAGAGTTGGGCTAGACCGAAGCCAGGAGCTTCATCTGGGTCTCCCACGTGGATGGAAAGGGTCCAGACACTTGGGCCGTCTTCCCGTGCTTTTCCCAGGCCATTAGCACAGAGCTGAATCAGAACTGGAGCCGTTGGGACACATACTGGTGCCCATATGGGATGCCAGCATCATAGACAGTGGCTTTACCCACTACGCCAAAGAAAATTCTTCAAAAACATTTTTTAAAAAGCTCTGTGTGGTAGGTGTTGCAAAGCTTAACCGTGTCCCGATGACTGCAGGCCATCATTCCAGCAGGGACGAGAGCTGGGCTGTGGCATCTACATTCCTTCCTGCTTTCCTCTTCCTACAGAAATTCCTGGGGGTTTTGTAGAAATTTTGGAAAAATTCTTTAAGGTACAGAACAGCAAATAAGAGTCTTCTGCCACCATTTGAATACCCAGTATTGCGGTGCTTCCTCCAGGAGACGTTGTGCCTGCTTCAGTCTGCAGTTCGGGCTGGGCCGTGCTGCCTGCCGGGGAGCCCAAGCCCTGTGCACGGTGAAGGGTACCTTCCTCCAGTGGCCTTGCACTGCTCCCTTGCTCTGGGGGGACCCAGGGCGGCTCAGCCCGCAGCGAGGATCTGACGGTGTCTGTGGGGGAAAGCCTACGTCTCAGGTTCTCACTGGTCGGGGGATGTGGCTTCCTTGGGCTCCTAAGCTGGGTCTCCAGGGCAGGCGTGGCTCGGTCCTGGAAGCGGGAGCACTGCTCTGACGGGTTTTGAGTGCTCTAGTTCCGCACATTTCACCTGCTGCATCGAAACAGAAGTCACACGAGGACGTCTTCAGTTCTGTCCTTTCACAAATACGCAGCTGTTTTCTTTTGTAGGAATTTGCTATAAGCAAAAATATCCAGTTGGGTGATGAAAAGGGCCTGAAATTCCCCTCGGTGTGGGACTGGTCCCTCCAGTTCACAGCGAGGGAGCGCGCCCTCTTCCACAACCCCGTCTACATCGGCAAGAGCACGCCTTGCCTACAGAGCAGTTCCATGAAGTCTTTCAGACGGACAAAGGTAAATTCTAGCCGCGCGAGCGAACACCCGATGCCGCCTCACGCAGACACATCTTTCCCGGGGCACACAGCGTTAAAACCGGCCACCGCTAATGCACCTTTCTGAGGAATCCCTCCCTTTCTAACTAAAACGGCGCATCCTAACCTCCTCCTCCCTGCGGCCCGCAGTGCCCCGCGAGCATCTGCCTGCGGCAGCTGTGGCTGTGGGCCTGGGGGCGCCTGCCCCCTGGGCACGGGCAGCTCCCCAGGCTCCCTGGACACGGGCAGCTCCCCAGGCTCCCTGGGGCGCGCCGGGTCTCGGTTTCATTGTTCTTCGGAGTCTGAGATTTGCACTTGCTGCTGTTAATGGATAGGGTGCACCCCCCCCCGCCCCGCCCCCGTGCAGGCGTGGGTGCGGCCTCAGCAGTCGGTGCTCTGTGCAGTTAAATCCAGAGGCGGCTCACAGTGCCACCGAGCAGGCCTGGCAGTGCCCTCGGAGGCTGCAGGCCCGACCGTTTTCAGGATTTGGGCTGACGTTTGCGCCGCACCTTCGTGAGCCTCCCAGAACGGGAAGCCCGGAGAGTAACGCGTCTCTGTTCCGCACAGAAGAGCTACAGCTCCACGCTCAGAGCAGTGCCGTCCTCCTTCCGCAACGGAGTCCTCAGCGACCCGGAGCTGCTGCCCAGGAGGAACTCGCTCGTCCTGAAGCCGAAGCCGGACCCCCAGCAGCAGGCCGACGGCCGGGGCGGCGACGCGGAGCAGTATTTCCGAGACTGGTTCTCCAGGCCGTGCGACCTGCACGGCGTGATTCTGCCCCGCCTCTCGGCAGCGCACATCAAACTCTGGAAGCTGTGCTACTTCCGCTGGGTCCCCGAGGCGCAGATCAGCCTGGGCGGCTTCATCACGGCCTTCCGCAAGCTCTCGCTGCTGGCCGACGAGGTGGACGCGCTGAGCAGGACCCTGCGGCAGCAGCGCGGCGGCGCCCTGGACGCCGGCTGTGCGGAGCCGGCCCAGAGCAGGATGTACTTCCGCGCCGGCGGCCCGCAGGCGCACGCGGCGGGCACCCCCGAGTTCCTGTCGTCCTCCTTCCCCTTCTCTCCGGTCGGGAATCTGTGCCGACGAAGCATTTTAGGAACGCCATTAAGCAAATTTTTAAGTGGGGCCAAAATTTGGTTATCTACTGAGACACTGGCAAATGAAGACTAAGACGTAGGGTTTTCTAGACGTTTTGAGGGATGCTGTACATTTTCTTCTCTAAATTAAAAGTGCTAAGCTAGACATTTAAAACTTGGATCATTGTTATATGTAAGAATAATAGTTGAAATTTGCACTAATATTTAAAAACGAGGAATCATGTTCTTCACGGTTCTAGGTGGAACTTCAGGTCTCCTCTCTCTAAGTGGGCCTCATCTTCAGGGATGGGCAGGCACACATTCCCCCTTCCTGTAACTCATCAAACCAGGTGTTGTCTGCTGTATCCCGCTATTCCGAACCAACCCAGAGAAACAGACATCAAAGTGAATAGTTCCATTGTTTTCAGAAACACCCGGTAAAATCCCCAACAGGCATTCGCAGGCGTTCATGGATTTTTCTGGTCACTTCTGTTATCTGTACTTGAACTCACCTGATGAGGGTTCGGTGTTCTCAGGCCAGAATTTATTATTTCAGACCACGTTGGGACCTTAGATCACTGTGTTTTCAAATCATGAGTTTGCTTTAAGCTACACAGAACTGTAAAGTGACATGCACTGTTAACTGTAAAGATACTATAATTAAACTTGGAAGTGCCTTTAATATTAAGATACAAGTAACACTTTTTAAAACTGGGGAGTTAAAATCCCACTGCATATTGCAAGTAGATTTTTAAAAAGCTTCATATCAACAGCCCGGGGTCCCCAAAGCTGATCCCAAGAGGCTACTCAGGCCCCCCCTCAGTGGTGCAACCCCAGCCGTGGCAGCTGGGAACCATGTGAGCAACTGCTGCGCCGCCTGCACCCTCAGAACCGCGGGGCTCCTGCCGGTCTCTCCAGTGCAGTCAGCTGTCGTTGGCACGTGCAGAGGTCCCTCCCTTCTCAGAGTTCTTGCTTAGGAAGAAAGAGTAGGAGGAGGACAGGGAGCTTCTCTCGGAACACTGCCTCTTCAGAAATAGCCACAGCAGCGGTCTTGAAGCTGAGGGGCAAAGGTGCCTCAGCCTGAGACCCCCTTGGTCGCACACCTGGCGACAGGAGCCTGGCCAGCACCGCAGGAGGCCAAGCCGGAGGTCTCTAGCCCAGGCCGTGCACTGCCCCACCCCCATTCCCTGATTAAAAGACCCACGTGTTTGTTGTCTATGGTCTCCTTAAACTGCTATCTTGAGATTTGGAAGGTTTTTATAGTCAAGTGTCTAGTTAGCTTATTTCCTTTTGTAAAAACAAGTGTTCTCAAAATAGTGTTTGCCTTTATGTGTACCAAACAGATGTATATATTTAAGTTCTTTACCTTTTAAAAATTGTTCGATAATGCGTCTAGATTAACAGGACAGGAGTTCTTATAAAACGTCTTAGGAAATTCAACTTGGGGATGAATCCAGTGTTTCTGCCCACCTGTTGCCTCAGACATAAGGGCTGCTTTCAGTGTGTATAAATGACATCATCACCACCAAACATTTCATGATCCTTGATTGGAAAACGGCCTGATCCCTTTAAAACACCACAGCCTTCCATGCCGTGTAAAGTGTAATAATCATCCTCCCTTTTCAGTAAGCTGCTTTATTATTTCTCATTGTTCTCAATTCATTTTTTGGGTTAAGCATCTATTTCTCTAATCGCTTCCCTCACACATTTATTTCAACTCATTTAGTAATTTTTTAAAATTTGTAAGTTTAAAAAACTAGGTACTAATACTGTTTTAAAATAGAAAATATGCATATTTTTGTATGATAAATGTTGTAAAATGTTTTATTTTTGCTGGAGAGTTGTTGTATCATGATTATTGTGCCACAGGTTATTGTGCATAATATGAAAAACAACTGTGACAGCCTTACATCCGGGCCACAGTAAAGCTGCTCGGCCCCTCTACCTACAGGAAGGACTCTGTGGAGGAGGGGTGCACGTGGCTCTGTACAGGGCTCCACGGGCCGCGGCTCACGGGCATGGCCATAGCCCCGAGTGGAGCCTGGGCTGCTGAGCGCCACACACACGCCAGCCAGCGCCGGACTCGGCAGTGTCGAGCTTAAAGATGTACAGTGTCTTACTGATATTTTATGATGGAGTTTTAAAACCAAAAATGCTTGACTCTATTTAAGGAAAGGATATTAGTTTTTACTAACAGAGGGTGCAAACTGTCCAACACCTGCAACAAAGTCTGCTTGCTGTGGCAGTAACCTCATGGAATTAAAACTTGACCTTGAAAGCTAAAACCTTTGTGCCTAAAACTGATGACTTGAGCTAAGTAGGATGAGCAGGGAGATGACAGGTCTGTTTAACGGATTGAATGTGAACAAAATTGTGACTGCTAATAAAACTTTGACACAAACCCTCTGCTGTCGGTATCAGTGTGCAATCCGCAGGAGCTCAGTGACTGCAGACACACAGGCGTCTTCCCGCACTCACCACACTTGCGTGCCACCCGTTTGCTGTGCACGCCCTCTAAAGTCGGGTGGTGAGCAGCAGCACTCCGAACAGCCCCAGACCCGGCTAAGTGAAGTCCACAGGGATGGTCGCGAGCCACGGCCTCACTGCTCCTTCCAGTCGATGGATGCACAAACCGGGCAGTAACATTTCCCACGAAGGGCTCAGAGTCCCCGGGGGACAAGAACACGGTCCCTGACTCCTGGGCCTGGCTCTTGCCATCCACCATCCCGAATCTGGGCCCTTCCAGCAGTGGTAAGGCACTATCCTGTTCAATTATTATATCAATGTACAAATCACCCCTAATTTACTCATTAGGATGTTTTCTATTAGATAAAATCCCATCCGCTGTCCACACCCAAATGCCTGCACTGGCAGGGCTGGGCCAGGCTGAGGCCAGCGACTCTCATGTGGGTGGCAGGGAACCAGTTATTTGGGCTGTCACTTGCTGCCTCAAAAAAAAAAAAAAAAAAAGTGTGTTTATTTGAAAGGCAGAATTACAGAGAGGCAGAGAGAGAGAGAGAGCTTCCATCCGCTAATCCACTCCTCAGATGGCTAAATAGCTTGAGCTATGCCAATCTGAAACCAGGAGCCAGGAGTTTCTTTTGGGTCTCCCATGTGGGTGCAGAGGCCCAAGGACTTGAGCCATCTTCTGCTGCTTTCCCAGGTCACAGCAGAGAGCTGGATCAGAAACCAGGAGCCAGCCCATATGGGATACTGGTGCCGCAGGCAGCAGCTTTACCCACTACATCACAGTGCTGGTCCTAGTTGCCTCTCTCTTTCTCTCTTTTTTTTTTTGACAGGCAGAGTGAGATACTGAGAGAGAGAGAGAAAGGTCTTTTTCCATTGATTGGTTCACCCCCCAAATGGCTGCTATGGCTGGCACTGTGCCAATCCAAAGCCAGGAACCAGGTGCTTCCTCCTGGTCCCCCTTGCGGGTACAGGGCCCAAGCACTTGGGCCATCCTCCACTGCCTTCCCGGGCCACAGCAGAGAGCTGGACTGGAAGAGGGGCAATCGGACAGAACCGGCACCCCCAACTGGGACTAGAACCTGGGGTGTTGGCGCCACAGGCGGAGGATTAGCCAAGTGAGCCACGGCCCGGCCCCAGCTGCGTCTTACCATGTGCATTAGCAAGAACTAGAATTGGGAATGGAGCCGGGACTCAAAAACCTGGGCATTCCAACATGGGATGAGGCAGCCAAAGCAGCTTTCTGACCACGCCACCGCACGCCTGCCCCTCAGGTCTGTGCTTGCAAGGCCAGCACGCTCCTCCGCTGATCCAGCCCTGCTGCTGAGAGCAGGCACGGACACGCGTCCTAGGCAGGTAAGCAACTTGACGAGAATCTGAATTTTCTTTTTTTAGATTGTTAAAGAGATCAGAATTTCATCTGACCCTCATGCATAAACATAAAACAAGAATGTTTAACAGCTTAAATGAGTAAAGCAGCAGAAAAATCTAGATGAACCAGGCACCTCCATTCCAGCGAGCTATTCTGCGTGAGAACCTGAAGCTGTGCACCACCTCGGGTCAGTTGTTTCCTGAGTCCAGCCTAGCACGGAAGCCTGCAGCTCCTCACATGGCCGCGACAGTGTTGACCTTCTGAAACGTTTATTGCCTACTGTGTAGGATCAGTGCATTCAAACAGCAAGTTTTACAATATGCCAACACTATACAGTGAGTCGTGAAACCATTGGTTTATAACGGACAGCAATAAAAATTAAACACAATACATTGCTTTATGCTTTTGAAAGCCTATCAGTATATGGCCAGAGAGTACTGGTTCTGTGGCTTTCAGCTGAGGCCTTGGCTCTTCGCTCCAACCGCAGCCACGTGGCAGACCTCAACGGCGGCGCCCAGCCTCTGCAGCTCGTCCAGCCAGATCACCTGCTTGGGCGACAGCCGGTCGTTGGGGCCTTTCACTTCCACCAGCTGGAAGGGAAGTTTTAAAAAGTTAGTGTCTCAAGAAAACACGCAGCCATCCCAGCAGGCTACAGTTTTCACTAACATCTGCAAGGGAACTTCAAAACATCTGAAGAAAAATGGAACTAAAACACGAATTTTTGAAATTCATTCGTAGTTGTTTCAAGATGTGCAAATTCCACGAACTTTCTAAGACCCGCCCCCCAATCGTGTGTGTGTATTCTGAATCTGAACATTCGGTAAGAAAACCCCCAGCAGGGCCCTGTGGCGGGGGTGGGGGACAGGCGAGGCCCCCGCAGGCACGCAGGGCATCCCAGGTGGCGTCCACCCCCGCGAGACTGCCCGAGAGTGGCTCTGGGGACCGCGGTGCAGCCCTCGGACGGCGACTTCCGCTCGCACGCAAGCTGCCTCGCGGTGGCGGCAGCGAGGCCTCCGGTTCCGTTGTTAGCTATCAGCGTGACTGGACGTGGACTCAACCCACCTTAAAGCGATGGCTTCGGGAGCTCCACACCACCAGGTCCGGGAGGCCCCCTCGGCAGTGCCGGAAGTCAGCGGCCAGGCGCCTGCACACGCCACTGAGGACAGGGCCGCCCAGGCAGGAGACGAGGTCCTGAACACAAAGCACGGGTGGTGAGCCACGCCCCGCGCAGCCAGAGGGCCCCAGTGCAAACCAGAGCTGCCCTGCGGGAATCCCCCTGCAAGCTCTGGGTCACTCATCGCACCTCTGCCCCGGAGACCCGGGACTGGTGAGGACAAAGGAAGTTGGAGCGAGCGCTCAGGGACAGGCTGCGGCCACTCCCGGAGGCGGAGTCCTGCCGGGCCAGAGCTCCCGCAACAGAAACCCTAACTTGGGTAGAAAAGGCACAACTGGGGCCGGCGCCGCGGCTCAATAGGCTAATCCTCCGCCTGCGGTGCCGGCATCCCATATGGGCGCTGGTTCCAGCCCCGGATGCTCCTCTTCCCATCCAGCTCTCTGCTGTGGCCTGGGAAAGCAATGGAAGATGGCCCAAGGCCTTGGGCTCCTGTACCCGCGTGGGAGACCTGGCTCGGCAGGGGAGACCTGGATCGGCACAGCTCCAGCTGTTGTGGCCATCCGGGGAGTGAACCAGCAGATGGAAGACCTCTCTCCCTCTCTCACTGTCTGTAACTCTACCTCTCAAATAAATAAATAAAATCTTAAAAAAAAATTTTTTTTAAAGGCACAACTGAGGCTTTTTTCCGCCTGAACCTGTTCCTGTCGGTGACACTGGCACCTGAGCTGGGGGCAGGGGTGTCTCCCGCTCTCTCTCATACACACACACGTCTAATCTACAAATACAGGTTCGGGTGGTCCTCTGTACCCAGGGCTTCCACATCCACGGACAGAAAATACTCAGGTAAAAAAATAAATAAACCCCGTAGCAAACCAAGACAGACTTCGACTTGGCCACTATTCCCTGAAGAGTGCGACGTAACAGCTGTCACACAGGAGTTAACGCTGGGTGAGGGCCGAGTACTGTGGCGTGATCTATAGCACCCAGGAGGCCGCCACAGCTGACATGCAGAAGCCGTGGCGCACGCCACAGCCTCGGGCTCCCCACAGGTGGCTTCCACGTGCGTCTGTGCCACGTGTGCCACATGTGCCAAAGTGTGCCTTGCTACAGGTGCCTAAAAGACACTCAGCTCCAGGGAGGCTTGACCAACTCCTGCCACACAGGCGAGTGGTTTACCTGAGCTTGCTGGAGAGAAGTGAACCGATCCCAGCTGACGAGGGCGGCCGCTCTGCCTTCCTGGGCCCGCCACGTGGCCGCCACCTGGGCTCGCAGGCTCTCCGCCGAGGCGTCGTGGATCAGCTGCAGCCTGGCCTCCAGGGCCGGGCCCCGGCTCGCGAAGAAGCTGTCCGTGCACAGGTCCAGCGGGCAGGCCTGCGGGGCAGGGAAGCGAGCTGGCGCCTGCGGGCCTGCAGCCAGCTGCAGCCCTCACAGGACTGTTTGCTACCTACGCAGTCTGGACATGGCCGAGCTGTCCACGTACCCCTCTCACAAATGTGTAAACACGATCGGATGTGTAATCTGATGGAAGAGCACGTTATCAGGCTGGTTATTTAGAGAAGCAACTTGCCCCCGTGGCTGGCACATGTAACAGTTGATGTGACAGCCCTTGGCACGGAGCTGGGCTGAGAGACGCCCAGGGCAGGCTGAAGCGAAGGCTTAAAAACATGTTTGGGGATGACCCTGTGGCACAGTAGGTCAAGCCACTGTCTGCAGGGCTGGCATCCCATATGGGCACCGGTTCCAGTCCAGGCTGCTCCACTTCCAATCCAGCTTCCAGCGGATGGCCTGGGAAAGCAGTGGAAGACGGCCCAAGTGTTTGTGCCCCTGCCCCCACGTGGGAGACCTGGGAGAAGCTCCTGGCTCCTGACTTCAGCCTGGCCCAGCCCTGGCCACTGTGGCCATTTGGAGAGTGGACCAGCGGATGGAAGACCTCTCCCCTCCACCCTCTGCCCCACAACTCTGACTTTCAAATAAGAAAATCTTTAATAAAACACAAAGGTCTGTGGGCTGCAGCAAGCCGGGGTACCTGGTAGGCGTTTCTGAAGACGTCTGGAATCCCATCCATGAAGATGACATCCCACAGGAGGAGGCCGCACAGGGTGCTGAAGGTGGACCCCTCCCCGTGGATCCCTACGACACAGGCACACACAGGCACCCATCAGCTCTGTCTGCAAACACAGCACCCCAGTGCAAGGAAGGAAGAGACACACTGGATGCCCCATTCCAAGGCACAAAGCTGGGTTCTAAACTCCAGTGAGCAGCCTGCACGCACGCCACAGGAGACGGCAGAGGCCCCTCCCAGGCCGCAGAGGCCCTGCTGGGGGCGCTGGGCCGGCGCAGAGTCCACACAGGCAGCCTGAATAAATCCTCTCAACCAAGATCTGCCGGGAGGAGGCGGGGCAGTGCCAGCTGCCCTGCATCCCTGGACTTGGCAGGGACTGTTCTGATTCCTCAACTGCCCAGGCGCCACGCTGCTGCCGCCTGAACGCTAAGGACGCACACACGGTGGGTGGCAGGTGGAGAGAACAGAGGTCAGCTCCCCGTCCTCCAGCAGGGAGGCAGGGGGTCGCCAGGCTCTGCAAGGAAATGGGGAGTTGAGGTACAGGTTCATGGCCGGGGTATCACACCCCTGTCCTCAGCCAAGTTCTCTAGGTTCTAGGCTCATCAGCACACCACAGGGGCTTCTCACTCTTGTACACAAACAGCCGTGAACACACACAGGCAGTGGGCAAACACCACACGCCGACAGTTCCAGCACACCTACACAGACATGCACACACACACGCCTTCCTCCTCTCCCACCAATAAAAAAGAAACCAAAGCGTGTGAAAGGTAGAGAGAAGCCGGCTCAGTGGGGACCAATGGTGCTTTTCTCTTACTGGTGTCACTTCCATCAGTGTCACCAACAATCGTCCTTTGCAGCCTCTGGGCTCCCAGGAGAGACACCCACAAAGACGGGGAGACAGGAAACCCTTCGCCTCCTCAGAGGGACAGAGCTCGTTTGGCAAGGAATTCCAAGCGCTGCTCTCTCCAGCCACTTCGCTGGCCCCTGATGCTCCACCACCCAGGAACACATCCCTCCAGTGCCTCCCGGCGCTGCCCTGCCTCTGGGCCTGCTCACACCCCTCGGAAGCAGCCTGGCCCCCGCCCATCCATCAGGCTCCCCGCAGTCCTCTGGCCCTCCTCGTCCCATGCCCGCCCAGTACCAGCCTTTGGAGAGCAAAGACAGGTCCACGTGCTGCCCCGCCACCAGAGAGCACCGTGCCCCAAGGGGTGGCGGCTCCTGACGGAATGGGAAGATGACCTTGAAAACCCAGTCACCTTCCCCATTCCCACGGGGAGCAGCATCTCCTACCGTGGGCAGAGGACAGACGGATGACAGTGTCCTGCTACTGACAAGCCACCATGCAATGCTGTTCACCACACAGTGGCCGGGTGGGGTGGGGGCTGCCGGCTTACCCTGGTCAAAGCCACTTTGTCTGTAATGCTCGAGGGCCAGCTCCTCCACAGAACACAGGACCGTGGTGGGGGTGGCGCTGTCCCCAGTCTCCATCACAAACACAGACTTGCCCATTCCACGCTGCGGGCACAGCCTACCCGTGATGGTCACCTAGGAGGGCAGCAGAGGGGCACGGTGAGCCTCACGGCAGCTTAAGGCCCTGACACCCTGCCTGCGTCCTGAGGACTCGGCATGCAGGGCTCGTGCCATGAGCCCAACTCTGCTGTCCCGGCCCCAGAGCCACCTCCAGGCCCCAGTGCTGCCAGTTCCCACTCAGGAGTTCGGTCACTTACCTGGGGTGTGGCCAGCCCAGCCTTCCGAGAAGGAGGGCGTGACAGGGACACAGCAGCAACGGCCCTGTCCCTGTCCCAGACAACACTCTAAAAACTGCTGTTAGGCTGCTTCCAGTCAGAATGCATTGAAATCCAAAGCACCAGGGCCGGGGCTGTGGCACAGGTTAGGCCACCACCTGCAAGTTCACGTCCCATATGAGTGCAGGTTCAAGTCCTGGCTGCTCTACTTCCAATCCAGCTCATGCTAACGCGCCTGGGAAAGCAACAGCAGATGGCGCAAGTCCTTGGGCCTCTGCACCCACGTGGGAGAACTGGATGAAGCTCCTGGCTTCGGCCTGGCCCGCCCCAGCCTTTGCAGCCATTTAGGGAGTGAACTAGCAGACAAAAGATCAAGCTCCTCCTCTCTCTAACTCTGCCTTTCAAATAAGGAAATAAACACATCCGATGCGCCGAGGACACCGACTTACATGCCTGACCTCTCCCACGGTTATCTCCGGGAGCCCACGGAAGAGGCACCGGTACTTCTTACAGCCTGCAGACTCTCGCAGGCGCACGGCTCTCTGGTAGAGGGACAGCCGGTGTCCTGTCCTGACGTCTGGGTCTGCCAGCCCTTCAGCAATGCACTTAATGGCCTAGCAAACAGCAAAATCACACGTTAGGACCTGTGGCAGCTTCCACTAGTCAGCTTGACAGGAAAAACCACTGCTAGTTATTCAATATTGCTAGTTAGCAAATGAGTGACAAGCACTTCTAGACGTGCAGGCCGTATCCTGAGACCTGCCGCTTTGAACACACGATCCGCTCCGGGCCAATGTCTACGCGTTAGAGCACAGCTGGCCTGCTGTTCGCATGGGCCCTGGATCCCTGTCGCTACCACCTCCGAGGACGGGACCTCAGGGACGCCTGTGCTGCGGACTCGAGAGGAAAACCTGGCTCAGTGGCTGTCAGGATCACCCGAGAAACTTTTAAAGGCAACTGTGCACCCAGCCCTGGTCCACAGATAAGAATCTGCAGCGCAGGGGCCAGGTGTCACACACCAGCGTTCCAAGGTCAATCTCACAGGCAACCAGGACCCAGAAGGCTGGTCCAGATTCCTTATTCCCAGGGAGTGGAACCCAAGGTTTAGGGGAACTACTTGTACCAGGACACTTGAGAAATCAGTGAAAAACAGATGTTATGAGAAAAACTATGGGGGGCCAGTGCTGTGGCATAGCAGGTAATGCTGCCGCCTACAGTGCTGGCATCCCATATGGGTGCTGGTTTGAGTCCTGGCTGCTTCACTCCCAATTTAGCTCTCTTTTATGGTCTGGGAAGGCAGCAGAAGATGGCCCAAGTCCTTGGGAGACCCTGTACCCACGTGGGAGACCCTGCACCCACGTGGGAGACCCAGAAGCAGCTCCTTGCTCCTGGCTTCGGATCGGTGCAGCTCCGGCCATTGCAGCCATCTGGAGAGTGGACCAGTGGATGGAAGACCTCTCTCTCTCTTTCTCTCTCTCTCTTTCTCTCTGCCTCTGCCTCTCTGTAACTCTGCCTTTCAAATAAATAAATAAATAAATCTTTTTAAAAACCCAAAAAAGTAAAACCAAAAAACTATGGGGCTGGGTCTGGCAGAGCAGTGAGGAGGCCTCACTCGATACCACAGTACCTAGATTCTAACCTCACTGCTTCCCAGTCCAGCTTCCTGCTAATGCCCGCTCTGGGAGGTGGCAGCTGATGGCACAAGGAGTTGGGTCCTTGTCGCCCACAATGGAGACGTGGACTGCGTTCCTGGCTCCCAGCTTCAGTCAGGCACACCCTTGGTTGCTGCAGGCATCTGGACAATGAACCAGTAGAGAGGAGCTCTCTGCCTGCCTCTCAAATAGATACTAGATTTATACTTTAAAATCCACCAATTCTTCAAATACATTTGGTGAAAAATGTCCATTTTTTTAAAATAGCTAAGATATGGAATCATCTCAAATGTCCATCAACTGAAGACTAGATAAGGAAATTATGGGATATGTATACCATGGAATACTACATAGCAGTTTAAAAAAAAAGGAAGAAATCCTGTCATTTGCAACAAAATGGATGAAACTGGAAAACATCATACTTAGTGAAATAAGCTAGTCCTAAAAGGACTCCCTGATCTGTGATAACTAATAGAGCACCTTACAGGTCATCTACAGAGTGAAATTGACACTTTGAGACACAATGACTCTGAACAGCCCTTGTCTTGACTGTTGAGGAGCAGTTTTGTCTTTTTTTCATACAATTTGTTGAACTCTTTACTGAGTACAGAGCTAATTGTATGTGTACAAAGTTAATTGAAATCAGATCTTTGTAAAAAAGAAGAATGGGCATAGGAGAGGGAGGAGGAAGAGGGGTAGGAGGGCAGGTATGGTGGGAAGAATCACTACGTTCTTAAAGTTGTATTTATGAAATGCATGAAGTTTGTAGCCCTTACTTAAAAGGTTTCTAGACAAACAAACAAACAAGTATGCTTCTTGGAGTGCAGTCCATGTTGCTCAGACAGCCTGTGACTGTCTCACCCACTGCTCCTCTGCAAACAAGGCAACAGTCACCCTCAGCAGGGACTGCGAGTGTATTCCCTGCCATGGCCTGGAAAAGCAGCAGAGGAGGATGGCCCAAGTGTCTGGGCCCTGCCACTCACATGGGGGGATACCTGGAAGAAGTTCCTGGCCAGCCCTGGCTGCCGCAGCCATGTGAGGAGTGGGTGAGCAGATGGAAGATGTCTCCCTCTCTCTTTCTCTCTCTCTTTGTAACTCTGACTTTGAAATCAATGAGTAAGTCTTTTAAAAAAGGCAAGAGCTCACCAAGAGGCTGGGGGAAGAGAAGGTGGGGAGGGGCTGTTCACTGGTTCTGACCAGGAGAGGCGGCAGCAAGGTGAGGGTCTGCCAAGCTGGAGGCACCTACAAGCCACTGCCACCACCCCCGCCCCGAGGGCGACTCTATGCTACTTATCACAACACCCCCTTCTCTGAGATGCACCTGCTTTATCTGGGGGGAAGAGGCCATGAAAATACGCGTGTGAAGCTCCACACGGAACCTCCGGAGGGACCACAGAACCTCGGGTGGCTTCTCTCCTGCAGAGGCAGCCCCTCGGAAGCAAGGCCAACAGCTGGGTGCTCGCGCTCTCTCTTCCACCAGACCACAACTGAGGGGGTGCTGGGGCGCTGCCCCCCCCCCCCGGCCCACTGCCCAGTCTGTGTGGGGGCAACCTGCATTCATGCACGTGTGTGTGTGTTCACTTTCTTACCTACTGAATAAAACTGACCTTATTCACATCAGCACTAAGAATGCTTTGTGCTTGGCAAGAGCCCGGGGTGAAAATTAATGCCCCCACCCCGCTCCAGTTCTGGAGGGAGGAGCAGCCAGCGGTGGTGGCCGAGCAGCACTGACGCCACTGAACGGGACACCTGAAAACTTAAGGCGGCAGATTTTATCTACGTTATACTGTACTACACAACAGAAAAAGGAGGGGGAAAGGAAACTTAAAAATCAGTGAGGGCTCAGGCCACCAGGAGGTAAACGGCCGAAAGAAGTCAAGACGTGAGAATGTGAGGCTGCAGCGGGCTCGGCAGAGCTGAGGGCAGGGGTCTGGCCACAGGAGGGCATGGCCGGCCGGCCGCACCCCTCCCCTGGGGCTGCGGGACCCTGCAGGAAGCAGCGCTCTGCTCTCAGGCTCTGCTGGGGATGGATACAAAGCACGTGGGAGGCAGGAACACACTGCAGGGATCACAAGGGCCGCCAAGGCGACTGCGGGGCAAGGTTCAAGGGAACGAGGGTGTTCTTCCCATCAGTCTCAAAATCCAGCTCCGTGCAGGTCCTCCCTGTGAAGGCCAGACTACTCCTAACGCAACTGTGAACACAGGGAAATCTGCAAAATCCGAGAGCCCGCATGTCACTGAAAGTACGCGGCAGCAACACTCGGCGTTTTCCATCCCATACTTGGTTCTGGGCTAACAGGGGCTTCCTCCTGCTACGTTAGCTGCTGTAAACACGGGCAGGACAGGAAGCCCGCGCCCACTCCAGGGCCGCTCCCCAGCACACTGGCTCACAAGGCGCTTGTTCATTTAAGGCTGTCAAGCCATGTCACAGTTCCACATTCCGTGGCCAATTTTTTCCACGCCTACATCACCCTGCTTCGGTTAATGGGCCTCTGGAAAAAACCAAAGCTCCCAGCAGCACAGTGCCCTCCATTCAACTCCTGGCTGGCTGGGATGAAGACGGGGAGTGGAACTCCAGGCAGCCGCACAAAGAGCCACTGTTGCTGGGCTCAGGGCCGCAGCCTCGGGGCCCTGCCCTGCTTTCCTCCCCACCCTGCTTGTCCTGGAGGCAACCAATCCCTCCGCTTTCAAGTCCCTAAGATCCCACCCCAGGCACACAGGCACTGGCTAGAAAAACCAGCCTGCCTGACATCCCAGCAGCACAGCAAATCCACCTGGAATAGGACAAGCTGGGGAACCTACTTTCATCCATCTTTCTACCTGGAGGCTCCGTGCAACAAACAAATAAAAACCACCTTTTGCAAAACTAAACACCTTCCTTGAAGGCACCTGCCCAGGGCTGAGGCATCGGACTCTCCCTCTCCCCCAGTCCCCAGACCCTAAATCCTAAGTCCCAGTGCAGAGTCCACTGCCAACCCATCTCCCGAATCAGCAAGCAGAAGGCAGCTGTCTCCCGTCTTCATGCTGATGCTTCCCTTACCGCCCCTGGGCTTTCTTCTGGGCTTGCAAGAATTCAGACAGAAGAACATTCATAAAATAAATGTTCTCGTTACAGTGACATTTGTTAAGGATTTAAAGTTCGCTAAAAATTCACATGGGAGTATAAAGAGCCTAGGGTGTGTTTTGCTACGAGTACCAGTTCCAGGCGCTTCAGGTGCTGGTGCAAGTTCAGGGCCAGGCGATCCCACCACCGGCCTCTGCTGTCAGGACAGTAAATCTTCTGAGACAAAAGGCTCTCGAGCTCCTTGACAGCTTCCTACGGCGACAACAACAGAGAGCGCTCAGGAGCTCCCGAGTGTAATCACATTTAGAAGCTAAGAGGATCGGCTCACAGCTTTCCACCCTAAACCACGGCCAAGGACCTGGGGCTCACAGGGTGGAGGCGGCCATGCCCCCTGGAGTGGCCGTGGCACCCTACATCCCCACTTTTCACTCAGGCCCCTGCCTGCAGGTGCTGAGCCTGGGCATGAGGCTCTCGGCAAGCCGTGGCAGCCCGGGTGGAGCCACACTCGAGTACGCTCAGGGCTGGCAGACCTGCAAGCTTCCGAGAACCCAGCAGGTACGGACCGGTCGTAAGAGGGATCTGGGGCAGGCAGGACAGTAAACAGGAAGTCTGCAGCCAAACAGCCACCTCCACAGGGACTCCTCCGGGCTGCACTGATGGACAGCGTGTTTGGCCATTCTAGATATTAACCTTCTGTGGTTCTTGAATCTCTGTGGAACACGAAAGGTTTGCCCCAGAAGAAGGCGTAAGCCCACACCCAGCACTGCGAGAGTCCGTCTGGGGCTCCCGTCGGGGTCTCCAGCGCCCCGGGCAAGAGCCCACCCGGCATCCTCTGTGCGAATCGCTGCTTTTCAGCAGGCCAAGCATCTCTAATCGAACCTCAAAACCCAAAACGGGCACTTCAGCACGGAACGCTCTGGGTTTTGGAGAATTCTGGATCTTTGGATGAAGGATGCTCAATCAGTAACATTGAAACAAGTATTTCAAAGTCAGAAAAAACTCAAAAATCTGAAACATCTGAAACACTCTGACATTTCTGATAACGGATGCTCAACCTTTATACAAATATCAAACACAACAACAACAAAAAAAGTGAAATAAAGCAATTTCACAATGTTAGTTTTAAAGAAAGGAGATTTCCTATTTGAGATTATAAGTTATTTCCAGAGAATGCGTGAGAGCTGACGAGGACGCATAAGGAGACGTGAGATCTCCACCTCTAGGGTTTTGGGAGACCCCCTAGAGCTCACAGCGAGCTCCGAAAGAGACCCAGGCTACAGCTAGAGACCCTGGCTGGGGCAGGGAGACACACCGTCCAGCAGAGACCCCCAACACGTGAGCAAGCACGTCTCTGGCACCTCTTCTCTGCTTACCCGAGAGACAGCAGGTTGCCTGCGTTAAATGACTTTCGTCCACTACTGTGAGCTGACTGAGTGTGTGGGAACTGCTGGGAGCCCGGCAGGAGGTCCCTCAGGAGGAAGGGGCGGGGCCTCACACTCACCTCATACAGGTGAAGTCTCTGCAGTACCTCCACCATCCGAGACAGGATCCTCGTGTAAATCCACCCAACGGTGAAGCACCGCAGAAAGAGGGGCAAACCCTCGTGGTACCTAAGACAGAAACGTAGTTTAACAACTCCACGCAGTGACAAAGGCGACAGAATTCCTATGTTTCTAAAAGGTATACTCTAACACAAACGCTCCTTGCCTGACAAGGGGGTACATTCTGATACGCCCATCATTAGGCTGGAAGGATGCTAACTGGGAAAGGCACTGAGCGCACCCCGCCTGCCGCACAGGACGGCCTGGCACACAGCACGCGGCCCAGTCCTGGCTGCTCCCCCTGGGCACCACGAGAGGTTCAGGCCTGGGTCTAGCCTGGGGAAAGTCCAAGTGGGCTTCCTGCAGAACACATCAGGCTCTCTGACCACTCTGAAGTTGAAAAAGCGTCCTCCAACCTCTCTAAGTCGGGAAGTGCCTGTGTTTCCAGCTGTCTGGAGCACACACTGTGCTCCCACAGGCGGCCACTGCGTCCCCGGTTGTTGAGACAGTGGAGTGAGCGGACAACAGCGGGCTAAACCCTGGGCCTGCCTGTGGTTTTCTAAATCCTGCGAACGAAGAATGGTTTTTACCTTTGAAAATGGTTCAGTCAAAAGGTGAATAGCACTGTGCAGCTGTGAAAGCTGTAAGAAACCTGAACCCCAGCGTGCACACCGGAAGTGCCCTGGAGCCCAGCCATCCTCTTCTCCCGCACTGCAGGGCACAGAGCAGTTGCCGCCCCCGAGCCCCTGCGGGCTGCCTGGTCTTTCTCATCAGCCTCGTTCTCCAGGAACCCAGCCTCCTGGCTATGATCGTTAAGTCAGTACTTTATCTCGTTATAAAATACATATCCTAGCCGGCGCCGCAGCTCACTAGGCTAATCCTCTGCCTGCGGCGCCGGCACTCCAGGTTCTAGTCCTGGTTGGGGCGCCGGATTCTGTCCCAGCTGCTCCTCTTCCAGTCCAACTCTCTGCTGTGGCCCGGGAGTGCAGTGGAGGATGGCCCAGGTGCTTGGGCCCTGCACCCCATGGGAGACCAGGAGAAGCACCTGGCTCCTGGATGCAGATTGATGCAGCACAGCCATAATGGCCATTTAGGGGTTGAACCAACAGAAGGAAGACCTTTCTCTCTGTCTCTCTCGCTTACTGTCTAACTCTGCCTGTCAAAAAAAAAATATATATATATATATCCTAAATGTGCTTTTTAAAGAGGCATCTGCTAATACTAATTTTCCTTAGCATTATGTAACAAAGGAAAACAAATACTAAAGGTGTTCAACATCAATCCAACAGAACAGAAGGCCACGTGCTGTGGACTTGGACCTTTAAAGGTGAACGTTCACTTGGTGTGGCCTTTTTCAGTTTCCACCAGAACAGACCTGGTGCCTGTCCCGTGCCCTGTCCTGGGCTCGCTTCCCTCACATAAATGCAGCTGGACCAAGCGAAGCCACTCACAAGGACGGCGAGCCAAAGCCCAGTGTTGGCTTATGTGCGCTGTCGCGAGCACGGGAGTGGGAGTTTCATAAAATTCTCTTAAACTCTCAGACCTGTGCTTGTTTCCCGCTGCCCTCGGACTCCATGAAGAGCGAGCAGCAGACGCGAGCGACGCCACGGCTGTCTGACCGCAGAGCCAAGGCAGAACGTCGGTCACGAACAACCACAGTGGCCGCACCAGCTCGGTCAGGAAGTAAACTGTGGCAGGTACCTAAAAAGAAAACCTCTCACCTCAAGGAAGGGTGGTCTTTCAGCTCACTCCACTCCCGTTTTGCACGCTCAGAGAGCTCCCTAGCTTCTTCCCAGTTCCCGTTGGCCATGGCGGTGGAGATGTCGCTCAGCATGTGCACGGCCGCTGCGTACCTGGGGGAGAGGCAGCCTCAGATGGGAATGAGCCTTTCCACAAGTTACCCCTCCCCAGCCACAAGAGTGATCCTGAGGGAACAGGTCGCTTCGGAAACATCATCATTCCCAACGTCTGGCACGCCTTCATTCCATCATTCGACAACCTGGCTGCAGCCATGCCAACATGTGATCTCCTGTGGATTTACACTAAGATTAGATTTGATAACCTGAATCATTTGCAGTCAGAGGTAGCCCGAGGATGATGCCCAACCAAGCTTTTACTTAGGATGTTTCAAAACTAACTTCAGGAACATTCTATGGGCGATGCGGATGCTGAAATGTTGGCCTGCGTTCAGCCGCAGACAGACAACTTCTCTTTGCTCCTTTAGATGCAAAAGCAGACATTTGACCGAGGATTCTGTACCACTTTTGAGTACATAATCATTGCTTTGGACTCACAGCAAAGCATGCATTACCGATGTGTACAGACATGCAGATAAGAGGAAAAGAAACTGCCCGTGTGTAATGTCACTCACAAGCTGTGAGACCCAATGCTTTGGTGGTCTGCCACTGCACCACTGCGGGGCCACTAAGAAGAGGGTGCAGCAGAGACACTGAGTGGAGGCTGCCACGGACGGGCAGGAGTGCCCTCCTCGCCCCGGCCCCGCACTCGGTCAGAGCAGCCCCCACACACTCAGCATTGCAGCTTAATCCAAGGGGTGGGGGGACCCTACCACGCCTCACCTCCTGAGGCCTCCCTGCCACGGGCCAGCTCTCATCACCTCTGGACTCACGCAGGAAGACTCACCCGCATCTGCCCCAAACCTCCCCCTGCTGCTGTGGAACCACTCAACCAGGGGCGGCCGCCTCTTCCCGACTGCCCGGTGAGGGGTGGTACATCCTCAGCCCTGGGCATCCTTCCTGCCCACTCGGGCTCCCTCATCATCTCCCTCCTCCGTGGAAGCTGCTGAGGCCTTGGGCAGGGGCGGGCTGCTTCTGTCGACTCTGGGAGACGCCACCTGGGTGCCCTGCTTTCCCTCCCTGTCTCCCATCCATGACTCCAACACAGCACACGGGCAAGGACACACAGAACACTCAACCTTGAGACCTCCTGGCCAGCAACCCCTACCTCCATCTCCTGCTACTCACATGCCCCCGGCCACTCGGAACCTCCTCCTCAGTGACCGTCGCCCTCAACAACCCGACTGCGAGCATTTCACCCGCTGGCCCTCCAACCCTCGCAGCCCTGCATTGCTGGCAGCGATTTCCCCGGCTCACAGGCCCCCAGCTGGGCCCGCACTCCCAGCGGGAACCCAGTGTCACGCTCCTTGGGAAGAGCACTGTCCACCTGGGCCACCAGGCACGGGCACCTCTTCCTCTTGGCCTGTCTCCAGGGCCCTGAACTTTGCTTAAAAAAAATGACAGGGCCAGGGGACTGGCTGCACTGAGCCAAGACCACAGGTTTCCAATGTGCAGGTACTTCGTGCTGCAGCTCAGCCCACCCCGCAAGACGGCTTCCTTGTCATTTTGCTTCCCCAGCCACGCCAGGAGAGGGCCTGAGCTCCCATGGCTGCAGGCCCCGCTCTGCTCACAGCCCCTCCTTTGTCCTCAGCCCTCTTGTGCACACCTGCCGCTCTCCCTCCCGACAAACACAACTCGAGGAAACTGCCTCGGCCTCACGCTCACCACGCATGGAACCAGGTGCCTCTGGAGCTGCCCCTGCCCAGGCCTCCCACCGCACACAGCTGGCTAAGCCCCGCCTCCTTCCGCCCCAGGTGTGCCTGCCTCTCTGCTGACTTCGGGCCGATGGTCTCTCATCCTTGAGAGGCTTCCTGCCAGCCCCCAGCATCCCTCCCGCATACCAGGCTGCTCCTCCTCCCCCTGCTCTCCGAGTGCAGGCTCCTACTCTCCGTCCTCCTCAGGGCCCCGTTCAGCTCCACAGCTTCCAGTGCCCCCCGCATGCCAGTGACTCCCAGAGTTCTCTGGAGGCCGAATCCCTCCCTGAGCAGCTGACAGTATGCCCAACACCAGAGGGCAGTGTCACCTGAGCGGCTGCTGGCACCCCACGAACTGACCCCAGTGGAGTCACCTCCGTCCCCCCATCAACACCTTGGCAAACACCCGAGCCTCCAGCGATCCGGCCTTTCCTATGCCCCCATCGAATCATGGTCAAGCCTTTTCCACTCCCCGTCTTTCCCAGACTGATTCCGTCTCCACTGCTGCCAGCGGCCCAGTCGTGGATGACCGCTAGCACCCTGCACTGAGGTCACCAAGTGCAGCCAGCCCTCCTGCAGCTCCTCTTGCTCACAGCCCACAGAACGCGTCTGTGAACGCCTGAGACAGCCACTCACCTGCCCACGTGCTCAGAGACTCAGTGCTCACCCGGGCTTCTAGGGCGAGGACGCTCTGGGCCCTGTGGTCCTGGTCCCCGCAGAACCTGCCTTGCACTACTATTCTGGGGAGTTAGCCACAGTCTTCTGAGTTTCTCCAGCTCGGCAAGGTCTGTTCTGCCTCAGGGCCTGTGCACCACTCACTCACCAAGCCCCGGCAGGGCCGGCTCCTTCCCATTCTCAGGTCTCACGTCAACGTCCGCTCTCCAGGGACACTGCCTGAGCCAGTCTTGTCCCAGCACTTGTCATTCCCTATAACATGTCCATCTCCCCAGTGAAATGCAGCCCATGACAGCACAGACGCCATCTTGTTTGCTGCTGCAACCCATTACCTGGACCCACAGCAGGTACTCAACACTCACTCATGTTTACCGAATACACGAGGAGAAAGAAAACAGGACCAATCATGTCAAGTAAAGAGGTAGACGAAGGGGCTCTGAGGCCAGCTCTCCTGTTACCACGTGTTTGGTATCATCCTGCAGTCAGTGAAGTCCAAATTCATTTCCCTGTTAAGGCATTTTGCATAATGAAGAGTTTTAGTTATTCCTATTACTTAAAGCACACCTACTTACTAGAAAGAATGTGGGATGGCTTATTTTCTATCCCCAGGCAAACTACCCCACCCCCTGCAAACTTTGAGTGTGAATGATTTTGTGCATCACAGAAGTGAAAAGCAACTGCCTTAGATGCAACAGCAGTAGTGCCAGCCTAACCCTAACATGTGCTAGCACTCCCCGGAGGCCGGCTCTAAGCACGTCACATGCGTCATCCACGCACCGGTAAGAATGTGCTGTTACTTGTCCCACTGTACGGGAAACACTGAGGCACAGTGTGGCATTGTGGCCCAGGAGTGCAGCGAGCCTGGCACTTGGCTGCAGAGTCACATCTCCAGGAACAGAAAACACAAGCCCACTAAAAATGAAACCAGAGTAAGAGGAACTGTCACTTTAGGAGACCTGGCTTAAAATGTTCCCCTCAGTGAGCAGAAATGAGATACTGAGCCCTCTAATAACGAAGGCAAAATGGCCTGCAGACACTACCTTTTGGTCCTGCTTTCATCCAATCATTTCAACCGCTAACTTCTAAAAGCTCTTCTAGAAATACTGAAGGACTTTCCTAAAAGCAGACGTCAGAGTGAATTTCAGTTAAATTTCAGTCAGAATTCTTTCTTTTAAAATTTTTTTAAAGATTAATTTGCAAGGCAGAATTACAAAGCGAGAGAAAGAGAGAGAGGGAGAGAGAGAGAGAGTGAGTCTTCCATCAGCTGGTTCACTCCCTAAATGGCTGCAATGGCTGGAGCTGGGCGGATCCAAAGCCAGGAACCAGGAGCCTCCTCCGTGTTTCCTACATAGCCGCAGGAGCCCAAGGACTTGGGCCATCTTCTACTGCTTTCCCAGGCATATTAGCAGGAAGCTGGATCGGAAGTGGAGCAGCCGGGACTTGAACTGGCATCCACATGGGATGTACATCACAGCATCACAGGCGGTGGCTTAACCCATTAGGGTGCAACACCAGCCCTGAGTCAGAATTCTTTAGGGTGCAACACCAGCCCTGAGTCAGAATTCTTTTTTTTTTTTTTTTAGAAGATTTATTTACTTATTTGAGAGGCAGAGAGAGTGAGAGTAAGAGAGAGAGAGAGAGAGGTCTTCCATCTGCTGGTTCACCCCCAGATGGCCACAATGGCTGGGGCTGTGCCGATCCAAAGCCAGGAGCCTGAGCTTCTTACGGGTCTCCCACATGGGTGCAGGGACCCAAGAAGCCATCTTGTACTACTTTCCCAGGCCATAGTAGAGAGCTGGATCAGAAGTGGAGCAGCCAGGACTCGAATCAGTGCCCACATGCGACGCCAACACTGCAGGCAGCAGCTTTACTCACTACACACAGCACCGGCCCCCAGCATTCTTAAATCAAGAACCAAAAGGACCACCATAGGATACCCAAATTCATTTTTCTTGAAAAAGGTATTTTTTTTAGGATATTCAAGTATTTCTTCTCTATAACACCCACACTATTTTTTCTCCTCAGACCTACTTTTGCTGATCACACCACGTTTTCCCCAAATCCATGTTCTAATATAAACTGGTGAAAATTTCTAGTTCACCACATTCGTAATTCTGATACACAGTACACAAGTTATCAGCTTCATCTGAAGTGACAGCACTCGGACAACATTCCTCACAGCCCAGTTCACGCCAACAACACACGGAGGCGCGTCTGTTAAATGCCTGTATTTTCAAGACACTCCTGGTACAGGCCTTAGGCCTACTGTTTAAGATGCCCAGGCCCCGCATCAGAGTATGGGTTTGATTCTCAGATCCAGATCCTGACCCCAGCTTTCTGCTAACACAGATCCTGGGAGGCAGTGGCGATGGCTCAGTAATGGGGTTCCTTCTACTCACGTGGGAGTCCTGGCAGTGAGCGCCAGCTCCCACTGCCAGCTTTGGCCCCAGCCATGACTATTTCAGGCACTCCAGGAGGAGGCAATGGATGGGAGCTCTTTCTTTCTGTCCCCACCCCCCCACATCTCTCTCTGTGTCAGTCTCTTGAATAAAAAGTAAAATAAAATTTAAAATGCTCCTTGCCAAAGCTATTTGAGAACACAAATCAGGGAACGTCCTTTTTAGCTCTAACTCAAAACAATGATTTTGGCAACCTTAATCGAAACACAGTTCTGCAGTCTCCTGTCGTCTTAGAAATGCATGTAAGTAAGACACAAGACACATCCGATACTCTTGGCTGTAGAGTTAATGCTCTACTTTAGCTAGCAGAAAAATAACAGCTTTTTGCTACACTGTACAATACACAGATATTACAGTGAATTAACATTTCTTACCTGATAAGGTCTTCCCTGTCTTGGAAGATTCGGGTTTTCCGGTTGATGGTGTAGCTGGGAAACTCCAGTCGGCCAAGGTTGACCAACAGGACGGTGGAGAGCTGACCCTGACCTCCACAGGCCGCTTCTTCATCTTCCACAGAGTCGGTCAACGAGAAGAGCAGCAAGATCCGGGAGAACACAGCCCTGGGGCCTGCACACACTCGCAGCGATGGACCAGCCAAGTCCTTAGCTCTGAAAAATGTGCAACACAGAACTTTCTTTCCGGTTCACAAGCACTTGGATACCAGACCTCACAAGTTATTTTCAGCTAAAATAAAGAGAAATGGCACTCATTACTCTAAGCCCAAAACCAAGTCTACCACTGCCACCTGTGGTGCTGGAGCATCACTCAAGTTCCCAGGGGCCACCAAGAGGATGAAATGAATCTCCATCTCCAAATGGTTCCACACAGAGTGGGGTTCAATAAGTCTCTCCTTAGCCACCACTGCCCATGCTGGGTGCGAACCTTCAGAACACCAGGAAAGCTTTCATAAAGTGGTGCTATCTGACATCACCAAGTCTCCATTTTTGATTCATGCAATGATTTATATTACATAGTTATTTAAAATGTCATCCTCAAAGGTTCTTGTTAAGCATCGGATTTTGTAAGAGGAAGCGACATTTGGCGCTACTCTGACGCGCAAAGCGCTCCAGGAACATCTCCACCCCAGCGTGGCCTCGGAGCAAATTCAGTTCACCTCTAGCTTCTGCAAGGTGGGCTTGGACTAACTTCCGGGCCATGTGGACCCTCTGAGCCCTAGCATCTACAGCAGGACTTCTCACCCAGCACAATGGACACTTGGTCAGGCTGGAGACCAGGCGGTGGGGGACCAGGTGGTGGGCGGGAGCCAGGGGAGCTGTCCAGTGTATCACAGGATGCTCGGCAGCGTCCCTGGCCTCCGGTCACAAGATGCCATGAGCATCACCATCTCTCGCAGTAACAACCAAAACTAACCACAGATGATGCCAGATGCCCCAGCTGAGAACCCCCTGACCAGTGGAAGACCCGGTACCCCATCACAGAAACTACTAGGCCAGAAGCAGTGCGGCACCCTTGGGGGCACTGCAGGGTCAATGCCACCATCAGAGTCCTGAGAGCAGAGGGGATGGCGTTTTACTACAAACCACTCATCCCAGAAACTGCCACAAGGGCTCATTGCCTCCACCTCCCTGCGGAGGCCCAGGGGTGGCCCCTGTGGACAGTCTCTGGGCCACGAATGGAAAGTTACACAGGCAAGGACTGAGTAAGGGTGAAGACTGCGCTTTGCGTTTCCTCAAGGTAACAGCAGATGACAACAGCACGGCAGGAGGGCCAGGCGCTGCCCGCGTGGGGCTCCCGGACTCTGAAATCTCCCTGCTGGGCTCCACATCAGAATGCAGAAATAAAGCACAATCCTAAAGAAGAGCGATTTTTACTACAGCTAAAATGGCCTCAAGAATTTTATTTTCCTAAACTCACTGATAACAATTATTTACCTTATTTCTTTTACTGCACCTATTTATATGCTAAATACTAAGAGAAAGCTGTGAATTTTGTTTACCTATAAATAAGGTTATTATCGAATACTTAAGAAATATACACTCAACTGCATAAAGAGGGGACTTAGAAGACATTTAAGATACCACAGGATGAGTGTTTTACAGTTCTAAAGGCAATTAACTATAAACACATAATTTATGAAAATATCTTGGAAAATCTACAATATAAACATTTTTGAAGTATTGATAGTGACATTTTCCTTAATTAATGTCTGCTTTATTAAAGCCATATTTTATTAAAGATTAGTATTTACAGCATATCCCTGATGGGATGGGTTCTTGGCACAGAACAGCTTGAAGTTACACAAAATAAATAACAATGACATCATTTTAGTGTTTTCAGAAGCATCATCATATTTCATCCCGACCACTCCAGAATAGTGGTTTCCCAGACTAAAGGTGATATGGTTTGCTTTATAAACAAAGTGGGCAAAATAAATCTAGTCTAAAAGTTCTGATCTTCCCCAAACTGAAAGTTTAAGCGCTTCTCAAAGGCAAAATAAATCACCCAGTTTTTGGTAAACGACTGTTAAACTCAAGAAAAGTTGCATATTAAGTCTGTCTGGGGGCTGGCATAGCGGGTTAATGCCCTGGCCTGAAGCGCCAGCATCCCATATCAGTGCCGGTTCTAGTCCCAACTCCTCCTCTTCCAATCCAGCTCTCTGCTATGGCCTGGGGAAGCAGTAGAAGATGGCCCAAAACTTTGGATCCCTGTACCCATGTGGGAGACCCAGAAGAAGCTCCTGGCTCCTGGCTTGGCTCAGATTAGCTCTGGCTGTTGCGGCCATCTGGGGAGTGAACCATCGGACGGAAGACCTCTTTCTCTCTGCCTCTCCTCTCTCTGTGTAACTCTTTCCAAAAAATAAATAAATCTCAAAAAAAAGACTGTCTGAGGCTGGCACTATGGTGCAACAGTTAAGTCATAGCCTGTGACGCTGGCATCCCATATCAGAGGGTGGGCTCAAGTACCGGCTACCAACCCAGCACCCTGTTAATGTGCCTGAGAAGGCAGCAGATGGCCACCCACCTGGGAGACCCGGAGGGAGTTCCTTCTCCTGGCTTCGTCCAGTAGGCAGTTGTAGTCATTTGGGGAGTGAACCAGAGGATATAAAAATCACTCAATCTCTCTCTCTCAATCTCTCTCTCTTTCCCTTTCTCTCTCTTTCAGAGAAATAAATCTTTTAGGGCCGGCATTGCGGTGCAGCAGGTCAACGCCTTGGCCTGAGGCACACTGGCATCTCATTTGGGCACTGGTTCGAGACCTGGCCACTCCACTTCCAATCCAGCTCTCTGCTCTGGCCTGGGAAAGCACCCGAGGATGGCCCAAGTCCTTGGGCCCCTGCACCCACGTGGGAGACCTGGAAGAAGCTCCCAGCTCCTGGCTTTGGATCAGCGCAGCTCCGGCCATTGCAGCCATCTGGGGAGTGAACCAGTGGATGGAAGACCTCTCTCTCTCTGTGCCTCTCCTCTTTCTGTGTAACTCTGACTTTCAAATAAATAAATAAATCTTTCTAAAAAAAGAAAGAAATCCTTTAAAAAAGAAAATTTTAAAAATGTTTTTAGGCCGGCGCCGTGGCTCAATAGGCTAATCCTCCACCTTGCAGCGCCGGCACCCCAGGTTCTAGTCCCGGTGGGGGCACTGGATTCCATCCTGGTTGCTCCTCTTCCAGTCCAGCTCTCTGCTGTGGCCAGGGAGTGCAGTGGAGGATGGCCCAAGTGCTTGGGCCCTGCACCCGCATGGGAGACCAGGAAAAACACCTGGCTCCTGGCTTCGGATCAGCACGGTGCGCCGGCCACAGTGGCCATTGGAGGGTGAACCAACGGTAAAGGAAGACCTTTCTCTCTGTCTCTCTCTCTCACTTGTCCACTCTGCCTGTCAAAAAAAAAGTTTAAAAAGATCGACCAATTACCTTCAACAAAAAATTTGACTGAATAGTCTATCCTAAAATCTTATAAGAACAGTATAAAACTGTGTTTTTCTTGGGTGATAAAATGCTAGAACTGACCAAAGGCCCACTGCCTTCACTCTACTGCCTACTGATTTTTCTTGATCCTAAAGTAGCAGGGTGCAACAATAAGAACCAAAAACAATAGTCCAAGAAAACATCCCAGCTATTATAATTAAGGCTCGTCTAGCTTTCACCTTTTAATTACAACAGAAATAAGCAATGACAATTTGAAGATGTGCACAATCTATTATAATGAGTTAATATGTCTAATCAACAACTGAATGTTTTACTGTAACAATAGCCAACAAAACCTTTTTAAAATCACTGCACGGATCCCAGGCTGACTCTGGCCCCAAGTGCAGACCGAGCGCTGTTTGGCCAGTTTGAGAAAGGCGTCCACCAGCTGCTGTTTCTGTCCGTTGGTATTCCCCAAGTGGAAGGTCCTGGCCAGGGCTTTTAGTTCAGGGGCAGAAAGGAGTTCAAGCACTTCAGAGAGTTCTTGCAACTCAGATTCTGAAATAATTTAAACATTAAAAAAAGGTTAAAAATGGTTTCAAAGAATTTTACTATTCTCTAGCTTTACTCAGTTTAGGAAGAAGAAAGCTTAGCTAAATATAAACACAATGAAATTCTGCCGACATTTTCATTAGTCTGCCAAACCAATTATTAAAGAGTGTAGAAGGTAGTTATCGCTTAAGAAGTTACAACATAATAGAATTTCTCACTAAAAATTAAAAGAAAAGTTTACTAAAACAAGGACATACATGAACAGCCATTATGGCACAGGCAACTACTGGAAAGCTTACTGGAATACACATTCTTGTCTTTGTCATCACAAAGCCTCTGACAGGACCCCTTCAAATCAGGTTGCTGGTAATCTGGTCACCGGCTGCCCCCTCTCCTCAGGTCTCTGCTTGCTCACATGTTACAGGTTGGCAGCCCTTCCATGGGCTCAGGCATTCAGGCCCAGGAAGATGTCCAGCTATCGTGGGCCCAGACACCAGACCAAGCCCAGGGATTCAGCTGAATCACAGCCAGCTGGTGGGAGCCAGCGACTGGTACAGCGGTTACACCACATGGGATGTCCGGCTGCTCTTCTTCCAATCCAGACTCCTGCTATTATGCAACCTGGAGGCAGGAGGTGATGGTTCAAGTACTTGGGTACCCTGCCACCCACGGCGGAGACTCAAACTGGATTCCTGGCTCCTGGTTTCAGTCTCACTCAGCCCTGGCTATTGCAGGCATTTGGAAAGTGAACCACAGATGCGAGATTGCTATCTGTCTCTGTCTCCTTCTTTTTCAAATAAGATGAAATAAATAAATAGGGGCTGGTGCTGCAGCATAGTAGGCTAAGCTAGCATCCCATATGGGGGGAGGGAGGCAAAGAAAGAAAGAAAGAAAAAGAGAGAGAGAAAGAGAGAGAGAGAGAGAGAAAGAAAGAGAAAGAAAGAAAGAGAAAGAAAGAAAAGAGAAAGAAAGAAAAGAGAGAGAGAGAGAGAGAGAGAGAGAGAAAGAAAAAAAGAAAGAAAGAAAGAAAAGAAAAGAAAAGAAAAGAAAAGAAAAGAAAAGAAAAGAAAAGAAAAGAAAAGAAAAGAAAAGAAAAGAAAATTTTTAAAAGACTCAACTGGTCTCTGCCTTAAAGGCAGTCAGTTTAGGGCAGTGCCTTCTTTCGCAGGGTACAAATGGTGATTAGGCATGCACTGCACGCCTGGTAATGTTCTTTGTTGTTTGCTTTGTCTCCAGAGTCTGGCTTTATTTTTGCAGGACAGAAAGCATCTGGAGCCTTTCTGAGGCAGACTAAAGTAGACTCTGTGAAATCAACACTGCATTGCAGCGTGGCCCACGGAAGCAGCCACACATGGGGTATAAGAGAAGCTTCTACATTTCCCCTGCTTCAGGAAAGATTCCTTTCCCCTTCCTCACCAATTTCCATAGGTTAAACGACATACTGGCTTCCTCCAAATGACTCCCAAAGTCTGGAGTTCCATTAGAATTTTATGCCCACATAAACCAAACCTGTGGCCCTGCCATAATACTTGACATAACATCAAACATAAAGTTAGAGGGAAAACTTGGGGATGCTGTTCCAAATGACAGAATATTCAGTTTACAATCTTCTTAATGTCATGTGGACAGATGGCACACAAATTGTACAGATCCAGCTCTTGAGTAGCAGCAGCACATAATCGCAAAGCTATGCTGATTAAAATATACAAATACTGCATTAAGTTTTCTGTATCAGTGTCACAATGTTTGTTTAAAGCCGATCCTTCACCAGGGGGAAAAGTTGGTTTGGTTAAATTGACCAGAATGTAGTAACCTGCCAATTCTGAATAGCCACTCCAAGAAAGTAATTTAATATATGACAGCCAGCACCGCAGCTCACTAGGCTAATCCTCCACCTGCAGCGCTGGCACCCAGGGTTCTAGTCCTGGTTGGGGCGTTGGTTCTGTCCCGGTTGCTCCTCTTCCAGTCCAGCTCTCTGCTGTGGCCCAGGAAGGCAGTGGAGGATGGCCCAAGTGTTTGGGCCCTGCACCCACATGGCGTGCACCAGGCGGAAGCACCTGGCTCCTGGCTTCGGGTCGGTGCAGCCCGCCGGCCATAGCGGCCATTTGGGGGGGGGGGGTGTGAACCAACAGAAGGAAGACCTTTCTCTCTGTCTCTCACTGTCTAACTCTGCCTGTCAAAAAAAAAAATACATGACATTAGAAAGATGAAGGGGAGGAATATTTACAGGTATAGTGATCTTCAATCCCTCCATCTTGTTTACAAAAGCAGGCCCAACAATACTGATTTCAGGCAATATGCATTATTTGCCAAATTTTTAATTTGTCCTAGTTAAATAACACATACTGTTGTTAGTCTTCCCCAAGATGTGTTTCATTTCCTCAAACTCTGATCCTCTTATAGATGTCATCACAAGTTGTCTCAAGGTTGTGGCATCATATGTGCAGGAAATAAAGATCTGGCTTTCTTTTCCCAAACTTTTTGGTACAAGGAGGTCACTGATGCTAACAAACTTCTGCTGAATTGGTTCCAAGAGCACCACAGCTGGTCTGACTTCTTTCTTGGTTCCTTGTGTACACAGCTGTACTAACTATGGCACTGTGCCTCCCTTATGCTGCCACACAGTGTGCACAGGAAATCATGCAGAGACATCAAACTGGCAGGAGCTGGCACCACTAGTGTTCTTGACGGGGTGGCCAAGGATGCAGATAACTGTCCACCTGGCCTACTTTCTTCATAGCTGGCGTCACAGATGAGCTGCTGATAGTGAGCGACCCCTCCTTCAGATCTCACACCAATTACTGTCCCATTCTGCACAACGAATTCTTCAGTAGGGTTATTCAGCACGTGGGTACCTCCATCAGCAGCACTTAGACTTGCAAATCCTTGTGGCAGTTCGCCAAAGCCATAGAGTGGATAAAGGTATGTGCTTTGGCCATCTCTTGCCGGAGACTCACTGTAAAGTTTCACCCTGCTGATGGTTTCACACCATAGTTGATCTCAGTAGTCACTGGTCCTGTAAAGTACAAGAGCATAACCTCCAAGACCTGAAGCAGCCTGGCCCAAATCAAGTTTCTTATACACAGCTTGCATCGCACTCTTCTCAGGATCAACACCTTCAAAAGTTCAAGCGCCTCTTTCATCAAAGTTGGCAGCAGACACTAGGAATTTTCTGAAGTGACATTCTCCAAACAGTCCCACGAAGCCAGCTGCCAGGGCTTCTGCTTCAGGGGAAGGAAGCTTGTAGATCTTCCCTCCCTTACAGACAAAGCGTCCTTCAAAACTCTGAAATCCAGATGACAAGTGGCCTCTGTATAAAGGAACAACTTGCCCAGCTGACCTTTAGCCATGAGGAACTTTCCGGTCTCTTCCTCCCCCCAGTGATGGTGGTGGTGATCCTGGTATTTTAAAGCCTTCAAATACATCTTCCTGTGGTGTAGTGAAACAGTACGGTTTCGGTCCGTGTGAAGAACTTTCTTCCCACTCACATTACACCTGACAGATCACATTTCACCAGGCGGTGCCCAGCTCGATCGCGTCCATCACATCACATTCCTCATCCACTGAGTGCAACAGTGGGCTACTGGGCTTCTCATTTTGTTGCTAAAGGTCATTGAAAGGTAATTAAAGGCTCACCTGCAGCACTCACCTGTCAGACATGTCAACTTATAGAATCTGCATCCCTCGTATGCTTACCTCATGTTTAGTAATGCATTTTATGGTATAAGCCATAAAAAGTTTTCAATTTTGTAATGATTATTCATTACTTTAAAACATCTAAAATGAGGTTTCCCACTTTCTAGTTAGCTTTCTCCCTCAGAGAAGCCCTACCTAAAAATCTAATTATTTTGTTATAGATTTTCCACACTGGGGCAGTGGGGGTACTGAGATTCCAGCTCCCAGGATGACATGGACATGTGGGAAGCATTGTTGGATGGATTTTCCTGTCTCACCCAAGCACTCATGTCAAAGCTCCTCCTCTAAGCCTCCATGCCTCTCCCCAACTTTCCCCATCTTCTACCCTAACCAGTTCCACCCTAACAATCACCCAAACTTGACCTTCTCTTACTGCTCCCCCTACAAACTCCACTTCTGAGCAATCACCTGGCTTGATTTCCTGTATTCATCCAAACGAACTCAAGGCTCACCTCTTTCATTCTCCTTTGACCTACATTCCCAGTATAACATTATACCCAATTAACAGTAGGTACTTAACCCATGCTACTTCAGACAACCGAGGTATCACTGGGGAAGACAGACGTTTCTTTAGTGTTTTTATATGCTTAAAGCAATTAAAATTCTTCAGGCAATCAACTTAGGTGTGCACATGGGGGTAGATGAGATTTTTGGAGGCAATATTGGTTTCAATATTCAAGTCAGCTTTGTCCTGAGGAATCTGAGTAAGATGGGCCAAGTTCTTCTTGAAGGAGACAGCAAAGGAGGAATATATTTCTTCTAATTCATATACCACATCTCTTTCCTATATCCTAAAGGTAACTTTATGATCCTCAACCTATAAGATCTGTAACAATCAGTCTTTTTTTCTTAAGACTTATTTATTTTATTTGAAAGGCAGAGTTACAGAGAGAGAGAGAGAGAGAGAGAAAGAAGTCTTCATCTCCTAGTTCACTCCCCAAATGGCCACAGTGGCCAAATGGCCAGAGCTGGGCCAATCTGAAGCCAGGAGCCAGGAGCCTCCTCCGGGTCTCTCATGTGGGTTCAGGGGCCCAAGGACTTGGGCCATCTTCTACTGCTTTCCCAGGTCATAGCAGAGAGCTAGATTAGAAGTAGAGCAGCAAGGGCTCAAACCAGCACCCCTATGAGACGGTGGCACTTCAGGCACCAGCCCCCCTAGAAGGCTTAATGCTGGTTAATAATGGCTTTAGCAACATAGGGTTAATTTTTATCCCAAGATTAAACCCAGTTTAAAAAAATTACTGTGGATTAGGCAGGCAACAACTAGGAGAGGGAGCCTGAGTCACAATACCATCATTCTACAGAAAACTCTTCAGGACATTTTCGCTTTTTTGTTTTTGTTTTTTGACAGGGAGAGTTAGACAGTGATAGAGACAGAGAGAAAGGTCTTCCTTTTCTGTTGGTTCACCTCCCAAATGGCCGCTGCGGCCGTTGCGCTGCGCCGATCCGAAGCCAGGAGCCAAGTGCTTCCTCCTGGTTTCCCATGCGGGTGCAGGGCCCAAGAACCTGGGCCATCCTCCACTCACTCCTGGGCCACAGCAGAGAGCTAGAATGGAAGAGGAGCAACCAGGACAGAACCGGCGCCCCAGCCGGGACTAGAACCCGGGGAACCAGCGCTGCAGCCGGAGGATTAGCCTAGTGAGCTGCAGTGCCGGCAAAGGACATTTTCATTTCACATTTCCTTCTACTAGTCATACCTGTCTGTAGAAAGCCAGCACGAGTCAATTCCTCAATCACAGGTGTCAGGTCGGGGGCAATCTCTTCATATTCTAATTTATTCAACTTAATCCAGCTCAACTTCCGTTGAAAGAGCCGTACATATAACTTCTGGCCACTAGCTGCAATAAATTTAAGAAAAGTGGTGAAAAACATTTTCTTTCTTGTAAAACCAACATCATTTACTTTTTAAACCTGAGGTGAGGAAATAAACTTTACTAGAAAAACACAAGATAGGGCTTCAAAAAGTCCACAGTGGAATAGTGGGTGGCATCCTACATAGGTGCTGGCTCGTGTCCTGGCTGATCCACTTCTGATCCAGCTCCCTGCTAATGGCCTGGGAAAAGCACTGGAAGATGGCCCAAGTGCTTGGGCTCTTGCCAACCATGTGGGAGATCCGGAAGAAGCTCCTAGCTTCGACCTGGCTGAGCTCTGGCCATTGAGGCCACTTGGGGAGTGAAATAGCAGATGTAAGACCCCCCGCCTCTGTAACTCCTCAAACAAATAAATATATCTTTTTTTAAAAATCCATAGAATGTTTACATTATATTTTTAATTTCATTTGCCCACAAATTTCTGGAAGTCCCCTTTTATGCTTACCACACATACAGTAATGCATCTCATGGTATAAGCCACAAAGAGGTTCCAATCAAGTTTCCTACTTTCTAGCTACTTTTAGGTCTCAAAGAAGCCCAACCTCCCCCCCCCAATCTAGTTATTTTGCTATATACTTCTATTTTAAAAAAGATTTGTCTTCTTAAGGCAGAGTGACAGGGCGAGAGATCTTCTATCGCTGGTTCACTCCCCAAGTGGCCTCAAGGACCTAGGCTGGGCCAGGTAGGAGCCAGGAACTCCATCTGGGTCTCCCACATGGGTGGCAGGGGCCCTAGCACTTGGGCCATCATCTGCTGCTTTCCCAAGTACATTAGCAAGGAGCTGGGTCAGAGTCAGAGCAGCCAGGACTTGAACCAACACTCCAATAAGAGATGCTGGTGATACAAGCAGCTGTGCTATGACACCAGCCCCATCGTTCTTTACTTTTAGTTTAACACACATTATTTTGGTTTTGGTTGAATACAACCTGAAAATAATTTTTAAAAAAATGTGTAGCAGCCCCGTTCTAATTCAGTGTTCTTGACCAAGTTGTTTCACTGACCTTTAGCTTTGAACTTCTGTCAACTCTAAAATAAAATTTTTGACATTCTCCTTTTTTTTTTTTTTTCTTTTGCTTTAAAGAGAGCTCTTCCATCTGCTGATTCACTCCCCAAATGGCTGGGCTAGGAGCTTCATCTGGGTCTCCCAGGAGGGTGCAGGGGCCCAAGTACCTGAGCCATCTTCTGCTGCTTTCCCAGGCACATTAGCAGGGAGGCAGATTGGAAATGCAGCAGCTGGGTTCGAGCCAACGCCCACATGGGGTTCTAGCACTGCAGGTGGCGGCTTAACCTGCTACACTACAGCATAGGCCTTTTAAACAGGCAAAATCAATTTAGCAACCATTATCGTCATACACAGACATATTGTATATGATTCTCCACGGAGACAATATAAAAGAAAATGAAGAACTTGTTCTAGGCAAACTTCGTATTTTTCAATTATAGGAAGAACACAGCCAACAACTACTCAAAAAATACAGGCAGACTGCAATCAACTCCCAACCAAAGGATTGTGCCCACTCTGCCAAAGTCCCGGCATCAATCAGGAGTTAGCAAGTTATGCAAGGAGTATCATAATCCTACAGTGCAAAGTTAAAACCAAATCTTCTCTTACACGGTGGTAGCAATGCTCAGGGTTTTTCATTGTTCTATCTACCGAGTCACACATGGCTCCAGTTTATCAGAGGACAGGGAGGTCACCAAGGAAGTTTGCCGACCTTGAAGGGGCTGTTCCACAGAGCCGATGTGGCCCTTTGGGTCACCAGGGCTGCAACACAAGGGCGCCTTTTCCTTCAAACTCGCACTACAGCTCACAGCCACTCAGGCTGCCCAAAATCTGAAGTATAAACCAGCACTTTGAAATGTCCCAATGAAGCTTCAAAGTTTCCATTTCCTCCACACCCTGACTTTATAAGGTAAGTCCAGGAATCCAAAATGTCGCTGGGGAAAGAAAATCTGCCTCATGTTGGTCTGTTTTTTCCTGCATTTTATTTTACTTTACTTTCATGGTGGAGGAAATGGTGTGTGAAAACAAAACACCCTAACAGTGAGCCTACTTATATGTTAAAAATGTAAGGTTACTTTTTTAAGTCAAACTTTTTTAAATCTGGGAAAGGCTATTTTATAAATGTCAAATATACACAAAAAGGAAAAACAGCTGTTTCTGCTACAACCAAAGTACACTTGTAGGAGCAGACGTCACCAGGCAGGAAATCTTGCCTCTTAGGCATGCCCACCCATCTCAATACAAACTGAAATAGCTCAGATCCCCAGAGTTCTCCCAGAGTACAGATAGGGTGCTCCCCAACTTACAGCAGTTACATCCTGATAAGCTGGTGTTTTGTTTTGTTTTTTTTTGTTGTTGTTTTTTGTTTTTTTTTTTTTCTGACAGGCAGAGTGGACAGTGAGAGAGAGAGACAGAGAGAAAGGTCTTCCTTTGCCATTGGTTCACCCTCCAATGGCCGCCGCGGCCGGCGCACTGCAGCCTGCGCACTGCGCTGATCCGATGGCAGGAGCCAGGTACTTCTCCTGGTCTCCCATGGGGTGCAGGGCCCAAGCACTTGGGCCATCCTCCACTGCACTCCCTGGCCACAGCAGAGAGCTGGCCTGGAAGAGGGGCAACCAGGACAGAACCGGCGCCCCGACCGGGACTAGAACCCGGTGTGCCGGCGCCGCAAGGCGGAGGATTAGCCTAGTGAGGCGCGGCGCCGGCCTAAGCTGTTGTTAAGTTGGAAAGTAAGTCACAGCTGCATGTAATATACCTAAGCTAGCAAACATCACAGTGTAGTCCAGCCTATCTTAAATGTGCTTAGAACACTTGCATTTTCCTAGAGTGGGGTACTTTACTTACAAAAGCCCATTTTGAAAGAAAGTATTGAATATCTCGTGTAATGTACTGAATACTGTATTGACAATGAAAAACAGGACGTTTGTATGAAGACCATTTCAAACCACCATAAAGTCGGTAAGTTTTGTCATACCATGGGAATCACCGGTACTTACAAAACCACAGTGCCTCCTTGTGGTCATTAGATCACTACCCATCCGTCACAAGCAAACAGGACAGCAAAAGGGAAAACCTCAAAAGCCAACAGGCATAGGATACCTGATAACTGAAAAAATCGAGTTACAATTCCCTTCTCCTGTTCATCAAAAAGCATCATATCATCTTCACTCCCCAGCACGGCTCGCAGCACCACAAGGAAACTCTGGAGGTAGTAAGGCTGGCTCGGCGGGGTCGCGGTCACTGCTCCGGCCACACTGCAGCTTGACCCCTGTTCCGCAGGAACACTGCGAGCGACTTCATTCTCTGAGCCGCTGTCACCCTCCAGAGGAGGCTTCTGGACAGCACTCCAGCTAGGAGCATCCGCTGCTGAACCCTGAGATCTTGGCTCCGAATCTGATGACCGTGTTTTAGTTTCTGAAACGCCAGTCAGTTCTTGCTCTTCGCGGTTGCCTGCCTCACGTGTTTCAACCCCTACATGGTCTATTCTGCTGACCCTCTCCTGCTTCACAAGTCCGGCTTCTGTAGGACAATTCAGTGCCTGCCCGGCTGTTACATCTGGCGAAGACGGAGCGGGAGCTTTAGCTGAGACTCCGCGGGTGGGAACTGACTTCCCACACTCCCCGGTGCCCCTCTGGCTCTCAGCTTCCATTATTCTGCTGCTTTCTAGTGCGTGTTCAGGACTTTCTTCCTCTAAAGAATTACATGTAAAAATGTTTTCCTTTTGAGAACTATTCTCCAAAAGTTCCTCCTTGTCCTCAGGTTCTGAACAGCTACCAACCAGACTCCTCCCAGCCGGGGAGACAGCGCCCCGTGGACTACGGCTGGCCAACTCCTCACCCTTATCTCCCGACACCCTAGCTTTTATGTATTTTCTGGACAACTTGGATGACAGGCTTCCCAAAGAAATGACTTGCACGTTCTGATTTCTCAGCTCATCTTGACTTTTGCATATGAAGTCACCACTCGCTTTAAAGTAGGGACTCGTATGCTGTTTTCTGTTCATTTCTGCTGAATCGTTTTTGCCAGGGGTTAAACGCGTCTTGGTTGGTGATGGCTTCTTCGGTGTTACACCTGCTAGGGCAATACTGGCCGACCCCACTGCGGATACCTTAGAGTTGATCAAGCCGGTCTGCGCTGGATCGAGTCCAACGACGTCGCTGCCAGCACACATTTCATCAAGGTGTCGGTTTAAGTCATATCTTGGCACCATCTGACTACACACGGGGCAGGCAAGTTTAGCAGGCGGCGCGTTGTTAAAGAACGAGATGATAGAACTCGGCGCCTTTTTTTCAGTTTTCCTGCCGGATAAGCTTCTGCGAGGCCTTTTTTTGTCTGGCGATCTCCCTTCTGCCATGATGAGAGTCACAAAACCGGTGCTCCGAGGCACAACGCGCAGGACGCTTCAGTCAAAGCCTCGACGGTTTGCTTTCGCTTTCTTGATTTGAGACAGTAAAAAAGTGAGCCTCTGACCTCATGGTCCTCGTTCAACTGCTTCCCCCTACGAAATACAGCAAATATGGATCGCAACGTTGTTCTGGGTGAACCGGGGCCCCGCACGTCGGAGGGCGGGACTTCGGGTGCAGAAAACCTGGGCTGGAGGCATACGCCCCCCGCTCTGCGGACGATCGGCGGCAACTTTGGGAAAGGACACCGCTCGGGGCCCTTCTAGGAAACCACCGCGTCGGGGGCCGTCCAGTGGGATGGGCTCCAGGGCGCCTCCGGCCTCGCCGGCCGGCACCGACCCAGCAGCGCCCGAGTCGCCCGCATCTGCGAACACGCTTGCCGGCACCAGCGCAGCTGCGGCCCCGCAGCCCAGGGGCCCGGCGAGCACCTGGGACGCGGTCCCGGCGCCGCGCGGCCGCGTGCGAGCCGCCCACCCCGGCCCTCAGCCCTCAGCCCTCGGCCCTCCCGCCCGGCCGCGCCGAGCCTCCCTCCGGGCTTCGCGCGCCGGCGCCCCCAGGCATCCCCAGCAGATCCCCGCGTCCCGATTCCTGACAGGCTCGGCGAGTGGAGGCTCGAGTGATCGATCTCTCTTTTCCAGGTCAAGGACTCCCCAGCAGCCGCGCGGCTGAGCCCAGTAGACAGACCCGGGCACCTCCTGCCTTTCGCGCCTGCAGCAGGCGGGCCGCCCTGAACGCCCCTGCTCGGCTTCTCTGCGGCCGGGCGTTCCGATGCGTGGGAAGCCGGAGCAACCTGCACTTTTGTGGGGGAGCTCCGCGTCTCGGGGTGCAGCCTGCAGGGAGGAGACAAGAGGCCAGCACAGGCTGTGCTCACACAGGCTCTGCGAACCGGCACCGGGCTGACGGTATCACTGTAAAAACCCCAACAGTGCAGAAATAATAAAATGTAGCCATTAGGGAATGATGGGTCTTGAATTTATTTTAATTGCTTAACAGCTGGGAATGTAACAACCAGCCTGGTCCCGCCTACCCTAGCACGGGGCTGGTGCTGTGCAGGGAGGCATAGTTGCAGAGAGAGAGGGAGAAACAGAGAGCGGTCTTCCATCTGCTGATTCACACCCCCCCCTCCCCCCCAACACACACCGCTCTGTGACCCCAACGGCCAGGACCCAGGGACATCATCTGGGTCCCCGTGTGGGTGGCAAGGATGGAGCCCCTGCCCCATTCCAGGTAATATTCTGGATGCTGGAGACAGAATGAACAACGGAACGAGGAGATGAGGAGGTGAGGGCCTCCTGTTGTGGGGAGGAGACTTTGGAAAGGTGGAGAAAATACGAACAATTAAGTTAGGTCGTGAATAAAAAGAGGAATTAAGTCACGAAGCACCTTGGGTTGGGGATTTGAAAGGGTGCCTAGGAAAGGCCTAGCTGACAAGGCGCGAGGTTGGAGCAGCCCTATGCCAGCCGTGAGCAGAAGCCTGCCTGGCAGGCTCGGACAGCGCGCAGGCCGGGGGCGAGGTGGGAGAGGGCGCGGCGGAGGGGTCAGCCAGGCGGGACAGTGTCAGGGCACTGCTGCGGCCGCAGTCCGGGTGCTGCAGTGCTCCGTTGGAACTTCGTGTACAACAACGTGCAGGGGCGGTTGGCAGTCATTCTCCAGGACCGACACGGGGCCTGGGAGTCATACTACGGACTTCAGTATTGCTTTCGCGTGAGATCAGAGTGGGGTTTTGAGCGCCAGCTCCGAAAGGCCCGCCCGGCCTTGCATTAAGAACACAGGATGGGGCTGGAAGACTAAGCCGCACGAGAATGAGAACGAGAGGGAGCAGGGAAAACAGGACGCACTGCTGGCTTGTGTCACGTGCTTGCGTTCCAACTGGTAAGAAGCAATCATAGCCTGACTGTAGGAGGGGACGTCAAAAAGTCCCTGGGAAGTGGAATTAAAAGGGGCTTGAGAAGGCACGATCTTCTACCCGTCTGTCGAGTAGGCATAGCAGCCATGAACTCACCTAGCGCCCAGAAATTGGTATCCGAGTTAACTACACCTGAGACCAGGCACTTTCTAAAGAGGAGCGGTTGGTTTGGCTCATGGTTTGGAGGCTGCGGAATCCTAGCCCGTGGTGCCGGCACCTGCTGAGCAGGCAGTAAAGGTCTCGTGCTGCATCGCAACATGGGCGAGGGCAGCACAGGGCGACACAGCATGAACTGCCAGCTTAACCCTCCCCTCCTCTTACAAAGCCGTTGTGCCGTCATGGGGGCTCGCCTACATGGCGTGCTCCCCTCCTAATTACCTCGCAAGGGCCCCACCTCCAAACACCTCCGACATGCAAATTTGAGGGTTAGGTTTCCAACCGTTAACTTTGGGGGATACACAAGATTTCAAAAAGTTCGTGGAAATGGAATTAAAAGACGTTTATTTTGGTGCAAAAAAAAAGAGATTGATATCCATGCATACAAGGGGTCTTCAAAAAGCTCATGAAAATGTCTATTATGTACAATGACAAGGTCAGTGGCTGCCTAGGGACAGGAAGAGGGACAGCAGGTGCTTAGAACGAGGAAATACAAAGGGAACATTCAGGGACATGGATGGACTCACCGTCTTCATCATGGTGAGAGCTTGGTGTGTATACGCCAAAGCGTATCAAATTTAAATGTGGAATTTATTGTATGTCAATTATACCTCAATAAAGCCTTAAAACCAATGTATATTATGAAAAAAACTGTATTTCAAAAATTTTTGCACCAAAATCTTTTAATTTCATCTCCATAAACTTTTTAAAAAAAATGTATTTATTTGTCTGAAAGGCAGAGTTACAGAGAGGCAGAGGCCTTCCATCTGCTGGTTCACTCCCCAGATGGCCACAACGGCTGGAGCTGTGCTGATCCAAAGCCAGGAGCCAGGATCTTCTTCCGTTTTCCCATGTGCGGAGACCCAAGGACAGGGGACATCCCTCTACTGCTTTCTCAGGCCACAGCAGAGAGTGGGATCAGAAGTGGAGCAGCCAGGACTCGAACCAGTGCCCATATGGGATGCTGGCACTGCAGGCAGTGGCTTTACCCACTACGGCCTCCTCCATAAACTTTTTGAAGTACTCTAATTTCCAAGTCATGGCCTGAGGTTCCTTGGGAAAATAGTTGATTCCAGGGATAGTATAGGATAAGCCTGCAACATCTGAAAGCAAAAATAAGGAAGTGCTCGAAGAACAATGGGGATACACCAAAAAAAATTTTTAGATTGATTTCAGAGGCAGAGAAACAGACAGACAGAACCCACCTGGAATAAGGCTTAAATCATGTCCACCATGTCACGGTAAGACCTTACAGGCAAAAGACAACTTTCCCTGATGGGATGGCTGGACTGGGAGCACCTCGTGGCCACAGATGAAGCTGCCAGTCTACTGTGCTGGGTGTACCAGGTTCCTATGGCTCCTGGAATCACTTCCAGCCCACACGGTCCTTTCTGCATCTGACTACGGATGGCTACCTACAGCCGCCCTCGGTCCTTGCTCAGGCCATGGAAGATCACTTCCAAAGGCACACGTACTGCTTTATGCAGGAAGGACCCAAGGAGCTAGGTCCTGCCTTACACCCAGTGCAGACCACATGGATTTTCCAAAAACAGGTCAGGGTTTATCTCTATACACTGTGGGGTTCTCCAATATCTGCCACAGATACAAAGAAAGTCTCAAACATTTTATTATAAACAGAACAGTGGCAGCAAATGGGTAGAAGCTTTCATGTTAATATTTACATTATTTTCAAAATATATTACAGTTTTAATTTATGAACAGAAATATCTTGTCTTTTTTTCTTTTTCTTTTCCGTCTTCTTTGCATCACTGATTTGCATCTTCACTTGATCTTGTAATTTAGAAAAGAATGCTTGAGATGACTTTAAGGCTTTGTCTTTCCCTTCATCCTGTAATTAAAATGAAGATATGTTCAGGCTGTGAAAATGTGCTTATTCATAAGAAAGCCAAACTATAACTATATTATGAATACAATAATGTGCAAAGGTATAAATTCAAGAAAGAAGTAAAATTAGAAACAATTGCATCCGTTTGTGGACAGGTATCCTGTACATCCCACACTGGTGCAATGTTCTTGCGATTTAAGGGAGAAGGGAGTGAACAAAAACTGCTGCAGGCCCAAGTGGGACAAACTTGGAAGCTCCTCCACCAGTCAGTCTCCACCCTGTGGGGGCTGTGCCACTGGCCCTGGCGTCCCAGGCCAGGAGACAGCGCCTAACCCGCAGGTCTCTTCAGCAGCGTCCTTCCCGTCCTTACCTTTAACAAGGAAGCTCTGCCGGTTTTGGTCAGATGTTTCAAGGTCTCCGAAGCTCTGGCTTTGGTGTATTTTCCTCCTTGGTCTGGGTTGCTCTTTTCAAGTTGTTTTCTCCGCTTCTCCCTCTCTTTTATTTTCAAGCGTTTCTGATATTTCTTTTTCCTCCGTTCTCGCTTCTTGTCTGTAGCTGTTTTCTCGGCAGCTGTTTTTATATCTCCAGCTTTATTTTTCTCCTATAAAGAAACACCACCAACACAGCAGTTACTCTAGTCTAACATCAACGCAGGGAACTGCCGCAGAAGAGAGCAGAGAGTAGGCAGCTCAGGGGCTGTAAGGACGTGGCTCAGTGCGTCAGGATGCAGTGCAATCCCCACCTGAGTTCCAGAGGGCTTGGCTAGCAGCTCTTTAAAACCTGGACGCAGGGGCTGGCACTAGGGCGTAGTAGGCCAGGCTTCTGCCTGTAGCACCCACATCCCTATGGGTGCTGGTTCGAGTCTCAGCTGCTCCACTTCTGATCCAGCTCTCTGTTTATGGCCTGGGAAAGCACTGGAGGATGGCCCAAGTACTTGGGCCCCTGTACCCATGTGGGAGACCCAGAAGTTGTTCCTGGCTCCAGATCGGCTCAGCTCCAGCCACTGCAGCCATTTGGGGAGTAAACCAGCGGATGGAAGACCTTTCTCTCTGTCTCTGCCTTTCTCTGTAACTCTACCTCTTAAATAAATAAAATCTTTAAAACAAAAACAAGCAAACAAAAAAACCCTAGATGCAGTGTTTGACATAACAGACTTTTTCAGTGACAGTTCAGTTACCAAACAAATTCACAAAGGTGGCATGGAGAGTTGGGTTCTCAAGTCAATGTATCAGAGACTCCAGCATGGGCCTGAGGCATGCCTGAGCTGCAAAGACACAGGGCACAGGTTCCCAGAGACCGAGAAACCACAGAGGAAAGGAAAACACCCCTCCACTGCAGACCAGTTTGTCCGTCTCTTCTCCTCAGCTGCCAGCCCACTGTGCCAGGGTGGCCACCCTCACGGAGATGGCAGAAGCTCCGACAGGAGGAGTGGGAACAGCAAAGCAATGAGGAGAAAGAAACAGGGCCCTGCTGCTGGCCAACCTTGTGCTGTGGGCCTGGCAGAAACCACCATTATTGCATAAGGCACTGGCGTCATTTTTCTCCATTTGGTAAAACTAACTTCTTCCAAGACCTAAACGCTGTATTCTAGATCCAAAGCCCTTTGCTCCTAATGTATAAGCAGTTT